GAAGTATGAAAATCCTCATACCTGCATACAAGGATCCCACAGCAGTGGCATAGCCAATTTCTTAAATTATGATGCAAAAAGAGTCATAGACAATACTATCACTAATGAAGGTACTTCCATTATCAGTTATAAAGATTACGTCTTGGTAACTTTTTCATGTTGTTTGTAGCAATAAATACAAAAAAAAAGGGGCTTTTCTTTTTACATAAAATAAACCAGACCCATGACAGGGCAGGAAGTAATCTTACTTAGAGTTCCAGTTCCAGTTTAGTGACTAAACCCACTGACCCCAACCCAAGAAGAAACCTGAGACAGGACTTTGTAATTTCATAAATGAGAATGGTTTCTTTTCTTAAGTTATAGGAGTCATGAACGTGAAAATAAATATGGACAGCGTTTTATAATCATTTCAAGATCAAAGAAAATGTCTAATCTTCCTATCTTCCATTCAGTTCTAACCAAAATTAAATCTATCAGTGGTGTACTCCACAGCTGGATCTTTCTTGACCCACCATAGTTAGCAAGAAACATTTTCCCACCAAAATTTCGCAAAGTACACTCATGGGAAGATCACATATTCCAGCTTCAAACTATGCACAGACACACTTTAGACAATATCGTTTACAACAAAAGTGTTAAAAGGAAAACAAGAACAAAGAATATTTTTCAAAATGTGACATATTTTTAAACCTACTAAACCTACTGGAACAGATTTACAGATTCTTATACTACAAACTGGATATAATAAAGTAACTCTAAGAAAAGGTAAGACCACAGCAAGCATTCCACTCTTAAATTATACGCATAAGTGAGAGAACATACAAAACAGATGTGTTCCAACAATATCACTGCAGATTTCTGGAATTCTAATACTAATAATAAATAGTAAAAATAAATATATAACATATGGATCCACCTGCTGCAGATTCACGATTTCCATACATATACATCACATTTTGAATCAAGCAAAACCACTGAACCTGAAAGTCTGAAAAAACAGTAATCGCTCACATGTATAGTACCATTCTCATTTCGTTGCTGCAATGGAAAAAACTAAAAGGCAAACTGAAACATCCAGACAAATGCCTTACACAGTGGTGCTGAATAATGTTTAATGTATTCTTTTTATGATCCAATCAATTCTTCTTCTGCTTCATTCCTTTTACTGTTTCAGCAAATGTCAACATAATTTGAGCAAAATATTTTTCTAGCAGACCATGATGCTTCATGCCAGGCAATAAAACTGCAGTTGTTACTGTAACAAAAAAAAAATATAGGCTCATCTCCAAAACATATGGCATTCCCAAATGACTCAGAACTGACAATGTTTCACAACCAGTTAAAAATTCTCTACGATAAAGTGTTTTACAAAGAAGACAACAGGCTGAACGCAAACAGGCAGAATAAAATCCAGACTGAACGATTATTAGTTATTTCACAATACTGTTTCAACTGCACACGATATATAAAAATAAGGCAGGATGGTGCTCATAAATGGCGAGTAACTGGTGACTAAGCAAGTAAAGGTAACCCTGTAACAGGCTGTGGAGGCCCATAGGGTTGTTAGATGTTGAGGTTCCCACATTTTCTAGACAATCGGCTCATAGATGGCAGCAAGGTTGTCAGCCCTACATGCTGGCCCTCCTTTACCCCCAAGAATTTTCCAAAATTATTCCTGGGACTCATTTGTGTTAGAGACTGAGTTGACTCCAGGGCCATAGTGCGGCTGGAAGGATTAGGTCAACTGAAAGAAATCCAATGACCTCATCGGGACTTGGACCTGCGACCTTCTGGCTTGCAGCACAGTGCCTCAACCAACTATGCTACTGCATGCCCCTTGAAGGAACTGGTAAAGGTGTAATTCAAGCTATTAGTCCCCAAGCATTTTACCTGCAGAAACTAAGGAAAATCATAATCACAACACCCAAGTAGCCCGGCTGAAGAATATAAATAAATATAATTATATGACAGTAAATATAATACAGTAGCAAATGGAGTGGATAAGCTAATATCTACAGTAATTCTCTAGATCCAAGGTAAGGGTAAAGGTAAAGGTATCTTTGTAACAGGCAGTGGAGGCCCATAGGGTTGTGAGAGGTTGAGGCTCCCACATTTTCTAGACAATTGGCTCATAGATGGCGGTAAGGTTGTCAGCCTTAAGTGCCAGCCGCCATTTACTGCCCAGGAAGATTCCTGGTACTCATTTCTGTTGGAGACTGAGTCGATCCCAGGGCCACATTGCTACTGGAAGGATTAGGTAAATTGAGGAAAAAAAGAATTCCACCTCATTGGGACTTCAACCTGCGACCTTCTGGTGTAGCATAGTACCTCAACCAACTATGCTACTGTGTACCCCAGATCCAAGCTGAAATCAACATTAATTTAGAGTAATCACTAAACAAACAATGGCATATGTAGGGGGTTAGCATGACAAATAACAATGTGTTCTGTATTTGAGGATTTGGTTTAATGGGACTTCTTTACAATTACAATCGATTTATAACAGCTCACAAACTTAACTCCTTCAGAATGCCGTATGAAAGAACCTCTATGAATAATCTCTCATGAATCTCTCAATGAACACTCGTTGCTACAGATATTCCTACGTAACGGTCTCAACAATTTCCATTGTTGCGTCGCTCAGCGATGGACGACATATAACACGCAACAGTATTATTTCCTTCGCTTTGAATCTCTCACTAATCTCAGCCTCATGTCTTTATAACTACCACATGGCTGGAATAGAAGTCATCATGTTGAACAGTTAATTCCCTTTCTTCTGCTGGTTGTCGAAGGAATCTTGTATTTAGCAACTCGTTACCTGGCAACGACTGCTATTTGTTGTAATGGAAATTGGTCTTTGTTAATATTTGTTGCTGTGGAAACATGACTACAGAGCCACTGTCTAGCAATGGACATCTGCTCAGGCTCCACCATTATGGCTTTCAGCCGTCATGTCACAATAATTTACCTCAGCGGACCCACCTCCAAGTCACTAAAGCCCACAAAACAATTCAAGCAAATATATTAAAAGAGCTAGTTCAAAAGTTATACGCAATACAATGGTACAATACAGATCTACAATTCCACTTACAACTGCAACATACAAAACTATTCTGTGAGAATGCACTTTAAAATTAAATTATCACTTTAGATCATCTAATACAATCAAAGATGTTAGCCAATCCACTTTCATAATTTCATAAATTCCTATCACCAATAATAGCAATGGCAGGCCACCAAATTCTGAGGTGGAAACAATCATTCCATTTAATGTAAATCTCTGACATCTTGTGATAACAGTTCAAAAACTATGCAGTCATTGTCAGGTTTTAATGAGCATTATGCCATAGCATCTGCTTCCACCAACAATGCAAGATGCAATCATCTCTGTCTCCACACTGGCATGAGATACATTCAGTATTGTGGTTACTTCTACTCCCTTTTGCTATGTCATAAGACCAAGGTCCTTTTAATCTTACCATGTGCTACTACATTAAGAAAAAGTAAAGATTGGAAACTAACCAGGTTTAAAAAGAAAGCAGTGGAATGAACTGTAAATATGCACTGACATAAAGTAGCTTGTCAGGATGCATTGAATGCTATCACAATTTGTATGAAACAGTAAATTTGTCTGTCTCTTCTTAACAAACCTCATCTATACACTTGACTGACAGGTGTGAGGTTACATGAAATATTAGAGATCATAACATTTAGGACAATGAATTACAAGAGGATATCAAAATGCATCATGAAATGTAGTCTAAAAGGAAAGGAAATGAGAAAGTCAAAGATAAGAAGGTTCTGGGTTAATCTTAACGGAATGAAGAGTTTCAAGAACTGAATACTACTTCTGTGGTTATGTGTAACCATTTACTCATCAAAAAGGTTATGTCTGCGCATAAAAAAATACAATTACAAAGACAGACTTTGAACTGTTCAGTCGATTCACTCCTTTCCTGGTCTGTACAATTTTGATTGGTTGATTGCCGGAGTCCTATTACCTCCAGGGACTTACACTGTATTTGCATTTAGTATCTAATATATATATATATATATATATATATATATTGGCATTTGATATATTTGTTATAGTGTCTTTAATTTGGTACGTCCTACCCAAAAACCAAATTTCGGTCTTCAAGACCTTTCCATGTTTCAACTTCAAGAACTCAATCACCTGAATATGGCAATGGCATAGTCTCTACTAAAAATACAATGCTTAAAATGTGACAACTTAGTCAACAAAGAATAAAAGCTGCCTACAATTCAGTTCAATTCAATTTATTTTTCGTTCATCAAATCTACATTTGGCAATGGCGCCACCAGATATAGAACACGTCCAAGCCCTAGTTACAATAAAATCAATCCAGAGGACAACATCATTAAGATATTACAACATCCACAACCATTGTTGCAATAACTGATGATACAATGCTATAATTAAACAAAGCATGCATATAACACTCGGACTGCAACTTATTATCATAACAAAATACATATCAACATTGTCAATAACAGAGCAAAATCATATCCAACAAAGGAATAAGAACTGAATCAAAACATGCCTCTACTGGGTAATATCCATGTTGCTGTGAAATAAGAGTGAAAACCAGCATTCATGTAATTTTGTTCCAAACTCTGCTTATGGAATTTATTTGGGAAGAACTGGTGTATGGAGAGGACAGCAAGAGGGAGGGAAAGGAGAGAAAGAAAGAAAACTGAAAATGTGTTTGGCCCAGTAACAGTATAGTATACACAAAGTCCACCAATGGTACAAAAATGCATGGATTACATACTGTGCACAGGGCATAAAAGTTTGTGTTAAATGGAAACCTACATGTACTGGATACACTGTTTAGGTCTCATGGAATTCTACTGTAAATTTTACTATATTAATACATATGATTTGAATTCTTGATATTGGTGGGTATAAGCAATGAGACATATACAAACACAGTGTATTCTGAACAATGATCCATAAATGAGGTTCTACTTACCAGCAAAGTATGTAAGCAGCATATTATTAACCATATTTCCCAGCCAAGCAAGAAACAGCAGACTTGAAACCATTGTCAAATAGTACTGAAAATAATACATTCACAAATAAACCACATATTATTACACAATACATACAAATTAACTACAAACAAAAATTACTGATACATTCCAGTTTAGGGCAGCAAAATATTTTAACACATAATGAGAAAATTCACTGCTGAAAAAGTTAGTCTCACTGAGTCGCTAAGGCAGAGCATAGCAAAGAATATGGGAATGGCATGCATGCACACACAGGTATCCCTTGATTTATGAAGGTAATTAATTCTGTGAAATCTGTCTGTAAGATGAGAAATTTGTAGATCTAAAATGAAATTCCCATCACTTTACATGTAAAATCCACCACTGAAGTAAAAATTAAGTTTGTTAAGTGAGAAATATGTACAAATTAGCACACACTGTTGTAGCAAAAATTCATAAATTGAGTAGTGGTTAAATGAAGGGGGTGTGTGTGCGTGTGTTATCAGTTCATTCAAGTGTCCTCTTTCTCAACTCTATAAACATACAGGTTGTGAAATTAACACAAATTTCTGTTCAACAATATTCAATATATGAAGAAAAGACAGTTAACTTTTTCACACTGAATACAAGTAAAATTCATAAAAATTGCCAGGAGATGACTGTTCTGGCTTCAGTAGCCAATAAATCCCCATATTAGCTCCATGGACATGGAGGGTAAATCTAAAGTAGAAGAAGAGAGTTACAGATTCTGCATCAACATAAATTCCATTCATATTACCTCAGAATTCATCAAGAACTGCATGAAACAAATTCCCTTAATCATGTCTAACTTTGGCAGTAGGCGCAACAAGATCTACAAGCTAATGATTTGTCCTCTGCTACAACGCTTATTGATGATACAACATTTATTAGTCAAGTCAAAGGCACATTGCGACTGACGGTAGGCCAGTTAGTCAACAGGTCTTGATGTCGAGCCCTATGTGGGGCTCATGTACAGATACTTTTATTTCTAACATTTATTAAACACAGATGTTTCCATTTATACAGTATGCAATACTGGCCACAGAAAAATCTGCATGTGTTGTGGCAAGCAGAATATCAACATCAACTATCAGTAAAATGTGTGGCGTGGTATTTTTTATGACAAAATTATTTTTTAGAGATAGCATATTTAACAGGCAAACTATGCTCCATTTCTGACATTACCATCATCACTGGAAGAATTTATGCTAAATGTCTGCCAAACATGACAGGTGTCCAGTGCATTATGTGCAAGAAGCAAGAAACTTCTTAATAAGTGTTTTCCACATAGCTGGGTGGGACTCGGTGTAAAATTGTCACGGCCACCTGATTCACCTGACCTCATTTCTTCCTTCAGAACAAATTAAATGATGATGTTTACAAGGACACTCCGACTACACCAGGTGAAATAAAATGATGCACAACTGTAGCATGTACTATGATAGGCCCTGATAATTCAGGAAGTAGGGGTCACGTGAACTCTGCAGTCTGGCGAGTGATGTCATAATACACATGGATCTTTTACTAAATGATTACAACACTGTACTTCTGCTGAAGGTAACCACTTACAGCAACTATTGTAAAATAATGTAAATTAAGCTTAATAATAAACCACAATAGAAGTGGAGAGAAAGAAAAAGAAGCCTGAGTTCTGGTATTTTTCTTTTGTGATCTTAAAGAACTTAGTGCAGTACAGCATGTCACTGATTATGTCTTCTCTGCAATGCTGGCAATGAAAATATGTAGCGGCACTGGCAAAATCAAAGGAGACCTCGATACCTCAATAATGCCTCTGTGTACAAAAATTTGCCCTCCTCATTTTAAGTGCTCAGTTGATACTATGCAAATTTTGTTAGAATATTTTTGATAATGTAAAAAATAAGGGATATACTTCAGGTGGCATAAGTTATTCCACCACCCTGTGCGTGTGCATGCTTGCATGTGTAATAGGAAAATCTAGCTGTGAAAGAAACCTATGGCCTCAAAAATGTCACAATTGGAAGATTAATTTATTTGTTAATTTATAATTTACAATCTATGGTAGCCTCTAGGGGGGTCAGCCATGTAGACGAATACCTACCACTTTTGGTCTTGAATGTCGCATATCATAGAACACAGACCATTTGACAGATGCTTGAGTCTGAACATTTGCCAGTTCACGACAGATCTCTTCTAATTTTCGTTCCTTACTTCCAGTCCAATTTTCAGGATGGCAGACACTGGCTGTGAGGGTTGGTACCAAATAATCTACTAGTGTTGCTATCAGTCCAATTACAGAAACAGTTGTAAGAACTGATGGATCCAGGTACCAGAACAACCTTAAATAAACAGACACTGCATGATAACTCACCAGCCCACAATTTTGCAAAGATATGTGAATGAAAAAACAGCACACATCAAAGAGATTAACAGTGAAAATTAGAAAGTACAGGCGAATGGAATAAACACTATGAGCAGATCTTCGTAATTTTGTATCCTTCATAGGCCCTGTTCACTTACTGCAGATAAAGTTCTATTTTATAGAGGTCGCTGTGTTGCCTTGAAAACATGGTATATTCCAATCTCAGAAAGATGCATCTAGGATATGTCGGTCAGTTTATCAATAGCTGCAGGTAGGAGAGGCTGACAGTGAAGAATTTAGCATGCTGTTATTAGCTAGCATGAAACACTTGTCATCAACAATCACCACACTCTGCCTGCCTGTCTGTCCTACCTTGTGTCTCCCAAACGGCACATTGCAGAAAAACTTTTAAAGACAACACTCGCAGCTAAGAAGGGAACACACATCACAAGACACGGTTTACACAGAATATAAGAAAAACGACCCCATAGTGGAAGAACTACACACAAGTTTTAATTATGACACATAAGATGAATAATCTTTACAAGTTTTAGTGTGTGTAAATTTATTATAGTTGACATATACGCACTTTTTAAATACTTTTTAAATAATTTTATAAAGGCAAGCAATGAAATAGATTAGCGTAATTAGGGCACCTGATGATGGCACTATGTTGCCGAAACATGTCGTGAAGTAACATGTGAAATTGAGTGCTCTACAAGACGGCAACTGTATACATATCATGGATGAAGATCAGTGCAACAGGATGCTAAAATACAACTTTATGGTTTGGGTTAACACTTCCACAATACGAGTAGAACTCTTGTTGATGTAAAGACAATAATTGCCCATCATGGTCAGATAAACCATTAAATACTGGAAGAATAATATAATTTTCAAATTCAGTTATATCTATAAAGATATTGTCTATTAATGTCTGAGTTGCAGTGCTAATCCTAGTTTGGAAATGAACCACACTATATAAATTGAAAGACTGCAGCATATAGTTCAATTGTTGCTTCTTATTATTGTCTACAAAATAATTTATATTAAAATCACTGCAAACTATAATCTGTAAGTTTGGTTTGTAAATTTTTTTTATAACAGTTTCTAATTGGGTAATAAATAAAGGAAAATTACTGGACGGAGACCTATAAATAGCTAAAATACAAAATATACTAGATAAAAATTTGCATTTTACAGCACATGCCTCCATGGTTTTGTCTATACATAATTCTCTGATATTAATACCTTCAAAATCCACTGCTGTGAGAACCTCAAATTCTTATAAATTCTAGACCAAATGTCAACAAACTGCATGGCTACTACACTTTACAGCACACACAAATAATGGTGCCTATATGTTTACAGTGCACCAGTTCTTCCTTCCACCTTCTGATGCACATCCCCCCCCCCCACCAAGTACAAAATTTATTTTACAGTAGTTTTTCTTTGGACATCATTCACTTTTAAGCTTTCCATGTATAGAATGCACAAGAAAGAAATGCAAAATACAAAATCAGGATATAGGCAAATGTGGAAGGAGAAATATTAAACAAAGTGAACAACAACACATTTTATATAGTTTCAAAGATGAAAATACTGAATAAAAAAACGGTGGGGGGAGGGGGGGCCTACCGAGGGAAGATATGGAAAAATGTATAGGGAATCGGTGGAAACAGGTATGAGATATATGGTTACCACATGTATGCTCATCAAATGGATAATCAGAGTTATAAATACTGATTTACTCACAGAAAAAATGTTGTTGTGATGCCAACTAACATGCCTGGATACCAGCTTTTTTCCCACAGAAGAACTGAATTCAATGGCAATATAACTTCACGCCATCCTTCTAATTCTCGTTTCAGGTGCTTTACTCGTTTATCCTGAAACAACCAGTCTCATTATGAAGTATATAACTGTAAATACACCTCAAGGGAAATACATTACATGTAAAAGGAGAAAATGAGTGACAAGCATAAGTGGCGTTTCCCAGTTCCAAGTTACCACTAGGGATAAATTCACTTGACAAAAACAATTATAGTGTCTTGACACACAAACTGACTGCATCTTATTTCAATATAGTGTGATGCGGATGTCGCAACAGGAAGTAGGGGTCACGTGAACTCTGCGGTCTCGCGAATGACGTCACGTACACCACTCCTTCCATCATTACGCAACACTTGCTAAACACCCCCCCGCTGTGACGCAACAGAAGAGCAACTGTGTCAGGCAACCACTGCCGTAGTGACGTAACAGCATCGAAGCCGCTGCAGCTGCTACAGTAACAGGCCAGTAAACACTCTGCTACCCCCCACAGTGATGTAACAGGGAACACCGCTGTTAACACGAGGCAGCAGGGAATGGTATAAAAGGCCGGCTGAGCAGTGATACCTCCACCGTGACCCTGCGAGTCGTAGGAGGTGACAAAAAGGGAAGTTTCAATTCTGAGACAGTAAAATATGGTCGCGAGTCCCAAGGGACTCGGACCTGAGTAAGACTGTGATGGCAAGGACCAGCAACATATACAAAAGACAGACCCGTCCTCTCGTCAGAGAAGGCGCCCCACAGAAACAAGACAGTAACTGTCAAACAGTAATAATTAATATCTGGTCATGAGCCCCAAATTGGGCTCGACACCAAGACTTACTGACTGACTGACCGTCAGTCGCAATGTGACTTTGACTTGTGAGCCAGTGATATTATATATATATATTATTCAAGTGATATAGTGGAGTTTAGAGAGAGTGATCAGTGGAGTGAACTTTTTAGTGAGACATTAGAATTCGTGCATTCAAGAGAGATTCAATAGTGATTAGTAAATCCACTACACCAGTGAAGTAAACAAAACATGTTGGGCAGAGTGGTTTATACAGACTTCACGATACGTAATGTGCTCACGGCCAACTCCCATTTGGCGAAAGTGGTATTGGTGAAGTTTGCGCCCGGCTGCGGCTGTGTGCAGTGCTCTGCGAAGCAATAAACAAATGGTATATCTGAGTGTATACCAAGATGGTGGATGTTCCACAACGGGGATACCAGAAATACTGGAGCTATCAATGCTGAACTCTGAATATCATGCCATAACAAACAAGAACCCAGAAATAGCTTCTGTAGTACAACAGGTACAAAAAGTGGTCAGTGGCATTGAAAACCTTACAAAATGCACACTGGCTAGAGTGGGGGAAAACTCTCAGTGGAACTATTGTAAATAGTGCGGAGGAGAACAGAGCAAAATCTTATAAGCTTTTAAATGGGAAGCTACTTTTCAGTGTTCTCTACGGCATTTACACGGTAACAGTGAAAGAACTGCAGGACGTCCTGAAGGTGAATGCACAGGCAGGACAAAATGGAGCAATGAACAATACCTCATTGGAATCAACAGCCCAGGATGACAAATTCCAGGAAACAAAGAGACGCAAGAGACATACCTCTAATGATACCTCAGAGACGACCAAGAAGACGACCAAATCAATCCCAATATCCACAGCTGACAAGCAGACTCCAAAAGCAGTGCCAACTCGCAACTTCTTCGCACCCCTCAGAGCTAATGACATGGACACAGAGACAACTGGAGCATGAGGCTCCCAGAAAATCAGGTAGGCCGCCCACCAACAGTGATGACTTCTACCACAAACCTAATTCGACTCCAAAGCGACCTAAAAGAATGTGTCAAAGGAGAGGGCAAATTCCGAAACACACAAAATGGAACTCGTATTACAACAAAAGAAATGATGGACTATTCAGCCATGAAATCCTACCTGGAGAAAACTAATCTCCAGTATTTCATCTTCTCTCCAAATTCTGAAAAGTTTATCAAGGCAGTAATCACCACCTTCCCCCAGACACACCAGCAGAAGATATTTCCAGCAGCCTTGAGGGCTTAGACTCCGTCATAAACGTGAGGCAACTGACAACCAATCGAAGAGCATCAAATGGACAGACCTACGTGGAAACCCTACCGCTCTTGTTACCTTAACAAGAAACATAAAATCTCAAGAGATATTCAAGCTGAATAGCCTTAATCATATAATTACTAAGGTAGAATCATACAGAGCTCAAACGCAGTGCTACAATTGCCAAAACTTTGGCCATGTCTGGGCCAAATGCAAGCAACCCCCACAATGTCTGTTGTGTGGTGGTGGCCACCTGCATAGGGAATGCCCAGAAAAGACGAATACAGAATCTACACCGAGTTGCTGCAATTGCACCCTAGTAGGAGAGAAACCTCATCCAGTGTCATACCGAGGTTGCAGCCATGCGAAAGGAGAACTGCAAAGGAGAAGAGCACAACGAGCTCCAATTGGAGCTGGGATGACGTTCTCCTCTAAGTTCACCTCACCAGAGCAATCCTACGCAGCTGCACTGCATCAAGACAACACCAGCACTACCAGATAGAGGGGAAAAGCGTCCAGCAACCCGTGCAGCAGCAGGTGCCAAAACAGGAATTTCAGTAAACAGATTTGTCAGTAGAGGCTCCCAGTTCGTCTAACAATGACACTGTAGCCACTGCAGTGCATCAGATCATGACAGAGCTCAGTGGAGCTATATCACAAGAAGACAGAATAATGGTCATTACAAAAATGGTACTTAATTTAATGCAACAAAATGGCTGCTAGAGTTCATAGGCTGCTCAGAGTCATAGCATTTAGTGCAAATGGCATTTGGAGGCAGCGCTGTGAGCTCAGTAAACAGCTGCAAGACTTACATATAGACGTGACTCTTCTCTCAGAGACAAATCTCAAACCCCATGATAGATTCTTTATTCCAAATTATCACTTTTATCGTACTGACCGCTTCCCAAGAAGAAAGGCAGAACTGCAGTTGCAGTGAGAAAAGGCATTCCCCACAAACATGTAGACCTGCCTCCGCTTGTTTCAATAGAGGCCACAGGGGTTTGCATACCGATTGGTAATAGCGAAATACTACTTGTAGCAGTATATAAGTCCCCAGGCCACACCTGGAATGATGCTGACATCACTGAGCTCTTAAGCTTTAGACATAAGTCGATATTGTCGGGAGATCTGAATGCTAAACATCCATTTTGGAATAGTGGTGTTTCCAACTCATCAGGCGTGAAACTGCTGAATTTACTGCATATAAATGAGTTTGAAATTTCAGCACAACGTCCCACTCATTACTCTCCTATGGGAAATGGTGACGTGCTCGATATTGTTGTGCACAAGAATGCCTGGCTGTCAGAAGTCATTGTCTCTGATATTCTGGACTCAGATCACCTACCAATTGTTTTCCACTTGCTAGATCATGTTAGAACTGGAAATCTTTTGGAGCCGGTTGACAAATTCACGGATTGGAAGCAGGTTCAAAGCTCGCCTCTGAATTAATTTCACCTAGAATCCAGAAACTCGGAGGAAGAAGCCAATAAAGTGGCCCGCGACTTTACGCAACAGTGCCTAGTTTGGCTCTGCTACATGTTTAGGCTATTAAAAGCCATCATCAGGCAAATACATGTCTACCATATATACACCACTGAACTGCAGTACTAATAAAATTGGATACAATAACATTAATTAATATTAAATTTTGTCATAATCAACAACTGATGATTGAATTAACCAACTGCTGATTATAACAAAATTTAATACTATTACTTTGCCCATGGGAACACAACAAAATCACAAAAACCAACGAATGACTCGATGTAAAGCATCACTCGAAGAATTTTTATTCTTGTTTTACACTATAACTTTTGCATTATATAATCTAATTTATTGCATTTTTACATGAAGTATTTTAATATAATTAATATTATTGTATCCAATTTTATTTGTACTGCAGATCAGTGGTGTATGTGTGTTAGCCACGTATTTGCCTGATGATGGCGTTTAATAGCCGAAACGTGTAGCAGAGCCAAACTAGGCACTGACCTTAATATTGTTGTGTTGTGACAGTTTTAATAAAGAAACTACAGAAGGGATTATTGTGTGGGGTTTGTAAATTGTCTAAACCCGCAACAGTGTTATAAGTATTTGTAGTTATGACTTGTAGGTTGTTAAATTCACCAATTAACAATCTGAACAGTTTCTTCAGTAGCAAAACATGATACAATAGCAAACAACTATTCTGTACATGGCTTTCTTCAGTGTACAGTAATTCAGCTAACAGTTTTCCTGCTGTCATGCAACATGAACATTGTCACTCTCTTCACATAAATCTAATGTGGCCCCTGTAAAACTAATGTATATCCAAATACAGGGAGATGCTCGCTTGAGAAATTCTGCCAGGAGCAAGAGCTAATATTTATGTGTTCTTGCTTAGAGCATATACCTTCCCGCTTAAGTCTCCAACACCACAGTACATTCAAGTTTCCTTGCTCAGAATCCTCCCTATAGATTAGCATCTCTATAGCCTACAAAGATGGTGTTACATGAAATTTTTGTAACAGTAATTGTTCAGACCACGGTCTCCTTGGTTGTGGCACTGGGCAGTCTTGCAGGTGGATACCAACATTTTGGAGAGCATGCTACCTCCATCTTTGGAGTCACGTGAGTATGGTGATAACCCTTCCCTTGTAATTTGCATATATACCAAATTACTCACTTTGAGCCTGAAGATAGAGGCAGCATGTTCATGTGAAACGTTTGTATCCACCTACTACACAGTGCTGTGAACCAGAAGGTCATAATCTTGTTGTGTCTTCGATTATTTAACACTACTTTGTCAACTACATATACCTAGTTCTCATAATCAAAAATCTAAATTATATACTAGCATTTTTTATTGAATTCTATGGATCTGTTTCCGAAAGTACCAACAATCAGCCAGGACATGCGGTAGAGTAGCTGGTTCAGGCACTATGTGACAAGCTGGAAGGTCACCGGTTCAATTTCCAATTGACGTAATCCTTCTAGCCACACTATGGTCCTGAGGTTGACTCAGCCTCTAATAGAGGTGAGTACCAAGAATCTTCATGGGGGTAAAAGGCAGCCAGCACATGAGGCGGACAATCTCACTGCCATCTGTGAGCCAAGTGTCTAGAAAATGTGAGAGCCTCGATGTCTCACAAGCCTATGGGCCTTGGTATATTGACTAGCTACGGGTTGGATGACCATGGGGTCGAAGTTCAAGTCCTGGTAAGGTCAAAAATGTTCTCTTCTCCAAATTATCCAGACAGGCTCTAGGGCCCACAAAGCTTCCTATCCAATGGGTACCGCGGGCTCCTTCCCTCAAGGTAAAGTGTCTGGGGCGTGAGGCTGACTTGTCATGTCCAACTAGTGACGGGGTCAAGAAAATATCCATACATCCATTCCCCCATACGGCTTCATTGCGTAATTGCGTAATTAGTTATGCACAGGGCCAACTTTACCTTTACCTTTTACCTCACAATCACTTTTTACCAGTAGGTACTGCAAAACGCATAAAGCAGTGAGAGAGCGTCCACACAAATATTCAATACATCAAATGCTGGAATGGTCTTCTACTTTTCAAAATGTATTATAGGAGTCTATTCTAATCTCATGCACAGAGCTCTATAAAATCAAAACTGCAGGTTATGAGCACTAGGACTGGAATATTACACCCGTAATAAAAGGACGATTTACCTGTTCATTTACCATCATGTTATCTGCAGCCATTCTTCAGATTCTGAGGAATTTCAATTTAATCTTTACACAATATGTATATATATGCACCCTTTCCTACGCTGTTTAACCGTCTTAACCAACACTACTCGCGAACTATGCAATAACACTGTCAATCGCTGTCAATTACCTACACGCACACTGATATCGTTCTTAGAGGACATGTTATTGCGATAGTATCCGTGGTAATTGGTGGTAATAATATATAATAAATAGATTTCGCTGCTACCTGTAGTGTTGAATATAAAGCATGAAATTCTCATATAATATTATATTTCTTACTTCTGAAATAAATAATTCACTATTTCTCATTTGTAAATGTTCTTTGTTTTTGCAAATTATACTAATAAAGAGAAAGTTCATTTTGGGGTTGAGATTATATGTTCTTATTTGTGATTGGCTATAATTTGAAATGTTACTTTATATTATAGCAAACAGGAGTAGCTGTAGTAGAGTTAGTGACGTTAAGGATTTTTATGAGTATTTGTAAAGAATAATCCTGAAAAGTGTATAAATTGTCCCTTGCCTATACAATAATATGACAGCGATGAATTCGGTGAGTAATTATAAGAAATGCAAGTGGTCACAGCTTGATTTTTCGATTATGTGTTTGCTAACCGTTGCCTTTAGTGCCGTGTGTTAGAGGACCTTGATAATTACTACGGAAGATGATATAAATACATTAAGATTTTAATTTACTATCATTTCAGATGTCGAATGTTGAGAACTTATCGCCGCAAATTATCCGGAGAGTAGTAAAGGAGATGAATGACTTAGTAAATGACCCACCAGAAGGTATCAAAGTAAACATCAATGATGAAGACATTACAGACATCCAGGCCTATATTGAAGGACCAGGTAATAAGCTATCGTCCTTTATATGTGATTAAAATGTAACATACAATACGTAAATCCACAATATTAGTCTTGGGTCGTTGCGTTTTTTCATGTATATCAGTGACCAACCACCCAACATAAACACCTCTACACCTGTTCTCTTTGCATAGGATAGCGTAATTATCGCCGAATCAGATGTGTGCCGTGTTGTAGAATTATCAAACGATATCCTAACAGTTATTAATGTATTATATCCAACAGCATAATTTTTAGTTAAAGACAATATAAACATAATAGCAAACTAGCAACTAATATACAGACCTGTTGTAATGGTTAGTATATAAAGAATGTAAAATCAGAGTTCCTTGCTCCGTAAATTTATAATTTCTTAAATTAGAAAAGACCTGTAGGCCTCACTTTATCAAAATTGTGCTCCACATATTTAGCAGTATCATTCCTTATATTTGTATTTTTCATATTCTTGTGTAGTCGTGGCATTTGTCAGGGCATTATTTGCAAACTTAGCTGGAGCACAATTTTTGTTGTGTGTGTAATCACTGCATCATTTTCTGTATACCCTGTACAGCTTAAAATGCCCCATGTATTTGCAGACTGTTTTGATAGGTAAAGCCATTAAGTAAGCAAACTGTAAGAACATTTATTAATATGTTGTGTGTGTATTGCATAATATATGGAGTGTTTCAGTTCTTTAATGCACTGTGGTCCATTGTTGAAGTGTTACTGAACATTTTATCTCTATAGGATTGTTCACAGGAGAGAATTGTGTTTAAATTTAGCACAGTCATAATGTTAGTTTGATATGAATGTAAATTCCCATGATATGTTTATAATTTGAGCCCTGAAGTTCGGTTGTATTATAAAAGCTTTCTCTTCAAGTTGGCACATGTAAAACTTTCTTCATAGTTAACATTTGTTTCAAATATTTCTGTTCCAGCTGGTACACCATATGCAGGGGGAGTTTTTCGTGTTAAACTTGCCCTTGGAAAAGATTTTCCACAAACACCGCCAAAAGCATTTTTTCTCACAAAAATTTTCCATCCAAATGTAGCAAAGAATGGTGAAATCTGTGTCAATACACTGAAGAAGGACTGGAAACCTGACCTTGGAATCAAACATATACTGCTTGTATGTATAAATGCTTTTTAAGTTACAGAATGTTAAGAAGGTAGAATAGGGAACATATGATTATGTAACATAGAAAGATATGTGTAATGAACCAATATTTGCATGTCATTTGTTTATTTGGAATGTGTCTGCTTATACTTGTAGCTGCAAATACTGTTGAAATCAGTGGTGAAAAATGGAAGCAGTGTATAAAATATATTGGGGAACTTTTTTACAATATTGTATCCTCATTCAATCGTTTCTAAATTCAGGCTTTATTTACAGTTATGAATCCTAACATAACTATTCTAATGTACCTAAACCACCTAACTTGTCACTGAATCCATCTTGCCCACAGCAGCTGACTGATATGTTGTGGTGCAGTTTCCATATAAATACTTTGCAGCTACAGGTGATTCAGTTGCCGCTTATGACAGTATGACAGTTTACTGCATGACTAGAGGGAATGGTATAGAGGTGACAGCTGCTAGCATTGATCCTCTTCTGCCTTCAAGCACACCTTGCAGCTTGTAGACAGATTCTGAAGTTCTAAAGCAAATAATTCACCATACACATACATCACACCCCTGCTTACACACTGTATAATGTTACATTGAATGTTATGAGGATTTCATTTGTTCCATATTCTTATATTATGTGTTAACGTGACCCATGAAGGTACTGCACTATTAGCTCTAAGTAACTGCTTTATATCTTCAACTGAATATCTCAAACCTCTCCTCATACACTCTTTCCTGTTTCACAAACTGAATGTGTGATCCCACACTTTTTGACATGGTGTACATGAGTCTGTGGGCACTTATACCTGTGGATGTTTGCGAAGAATCCTTTGAATGCACATCTCTAAGTTTTCTTTTGTATAGAGAATTCAACTGTGAAAAGTCTATTGAGTGCTATATTTCACTACAAGAGCAATAGATTGAGATCTAGGGAGGTGGAACTAGCACACACACCACATTGGTCATTTTTGTTGACTGCATGAGTGACTGTTCATTTCCATATTGACTGCAATCAGACCAATATATTGGCATAGTGGTAACACACTACAGGTTCTCAGTTAAAATTTCAGTCAGGGCACCAGCTATCCTAACAGTTTTTTCTCCTTTAATCTTTCATCTTTGGCATGTTTTGGTCTGAGAGACCATCTTCAGAAAGACTGTATTGATATGTCCTTCTGAAGATGGCCTCTCAGACTGCAGAATGTCAAAGATGAAAGATTAAAAAAGGAGGAAAAAACATTCGTCAATCATACTGGACAGGGTTGATAACCTTTTATAATCCCACATTATCATCAATAGATAGAGAATACCTATGACAAACATTAGAACAGGCAGTAATCTGGACAATGTTGGAGTCGTCTGCTTCCCATGTACTGCTGTTCCAACCTGCTCTGCAGGTCCTGGAGAGGACATTGGATACCTTAGTGAAGTGTGAAATAGTGAGGATGATAAGTAATAATTGTAACGTACTTTAAAGTTGTGGCTCTATTTATTTATTTAATAAACATAATTAATTCTAGATAAGAATTTACTCATGCCCTGAAGGCAGAGAATTTGTTATTCTAAAACACTGGTTAACTTCCTGCCAGACTATATGGTTCATAATGAACAATATGTACCCTCAATTTTCCTTCTTTGGGTGATGTATGAGATGTGTGCCTATGGCTGATATTAGAGCATTTCAGTTGCTTTATTTATGTTTTCTTTGCATTTCATCTCTCTATAACATATATTTTACTGTTACAGACTGTGAAATGTTTGCTCATTGTACCAAATGCAGAATCTGCACTAAATGAAGAAGCTGGAAGATTACTGTTGGAACAATATGAATGTTATTCTCAAAGAGCAAAAATGATGACAGAAATTCATGCATTGGTAAGGGAGTACAGTAATATAAATTCATTCAGTTGAATGCATGTTCTATTTTCTGCAGAAAATGTCATTTTCTTTGTGTTAATAGAAACAGTTGAGTTATAGAACATGCAGTTAGTTCCTATACTACCTGTTTAATGTATCTGGTAATGCAGTCCCTGAAATATATAATGTACGTTGTGAGAATATTAGATATATCACATTTTGATAAATACATAAATACAGGTAGTGCTGTGCATGCAGTATGGAAATGCTTTCCTTGTCTGTATATTCTATATTTCTGCCATGGGAAACTTGTCCACAGGTAAGACAATTCAATTTGTCATCTATAAGTTTTGAAACATGATAAGAAGCTAGTTGTATTCAAGGAGTAAAAGAGGGCTGAAGGTAGCTGTTAACCACATTTTTGTACCGTTCACTCTTGAGGTAACTGCCACTTCAAACTGTCCTCCACAAAAGAAAGTGCACAGCCAAATGGACAAGGGACATGCTGTTATCTTGATCAGGAGTGGGCACATATTGTTACTCAGATGGGAATGTCTTGAAGTGACTGCAGGTTAGAGAGCCTAGTGAGGAAAATTCCACAAGTCAACTAATGGATTTGTGAAGTTTGTATCAGCTATTCATATTGGCTGAACATACTTTCCAGATTCACCAAAATGCACACAAATTAAACAATAATGACTCAAGTCACAATACCATAAACTCTGACAAATGTTCTCAATGTGTGAAGGATGCACATTAAAGTGAATAGGGGGACTCCATTGTGCTTAAGTCTATTTATAAGTATAGTAGATAAAGGTCGCATTTCTGTCAACATCTGAAATATATTTACTTCCACTCTAAATCATGTATGAGAATGTAAAAAGTCTTGAAAGACTATTAATAATGTCAGAAAATTATTGCTGGGGGACACTATTTCTTTGATGGATCATATTTCCCACCCCTGATCGTGATTGTTGCAAATGGTAGGAAGCGCTTTTGGGTTCTTTAATATTTGAATTTTCTTTGTCTTCTAGTCATCAAAAGTTCCCAAGGCAGGGTTAGAAGTAGCAGCATCCTCAGCTGATGGTCCCATGGCCAAGAAACATGCAGGTGACAAGAAGGTGACAGCTGACAAGGAGAAGAAGAAATTACTTAAGGATAAAAAGAGAACATTGAAAAGGTTATGAAATCGAAATCTGGACTCCTGATCTCGGCTTTCCAGGCAATCAATAGGAAAGATGGAAGATCAGACTAGGAAATATTTTTTTTTTATCTGTATATATTTTTAAAGAGAGAATGGCACTGAAATTAATTTAGATGGCAACTATTGAAATAACAGCATTTAACAAGCAGCTTACTGTCAAAGGTATTTCTAAGCAGTACGTATTAGAAAATGGATTACTGTTATTTCAATATATCTTGAGACCAGTGGAGTTGGTTTTAAGTGGAAATTAAGTACTGTATTTATTGGCTTAGATATGTCTTTGTTGGACATTTATTTCTTTTTGTTATTTATTTTATAAAACATTTAAGCACATCTTATATATATTGTACACAATGGGGCCCTAGTGTTAACATAACTAATCTACACTAAATTTTGGGTTTTGTACTGTGTATTGAGGGTCGAACTACGAACATCTCAGGCCACAAATATATCCATTCTTGCGATAACTTAACCTTCTAATAAGAGTTCTATGTACTGTAGATACATTTCTTTAATAGTGTTAAGTAAAGCATTGTGTGAGTGTCTCTCCTATAAACAGTGTAACAAATTTGGATCTTTGACATTTTCTTTGTTGTGAAGGGAAAAGAGCTAGGAGGACATAATAAATCTAAAGGAATGAGAGGGCAGTTGTGAAACTGGATTGATACTTAAAACAGAAAAATTTTAACCTTGTCAGATATTCTTCAGTACTACAGTTCCATCAGACCAGATCTACAGTAGTTTATGTGTGGCAACATTATGGAGAGTTCAGTGTCATGGTGTGCACCTCCTTCAGGTCTGAGCTTTACGTTAGCATCATTGTTGACTACAGTTGTGAGGTAGAATGTGGATGTGTGAATGCTTGTGTGTTGTGTTAGTGTAGTGTAAATTGTGTTATTTATATTGTCCATTAAAGTAATTTTAGATAAATTTTGTACTTTCTGATCATCATATAATAACCTGCTGCTCCTTTTCCTACCTTTGCAAAGCACCATGGAAGGTTTGAATAGAACTTCATTATACCAGATATATGTACGTGGTGTGTTCAAAAAGTATCGAGCCTTCTTTTTTCCCGCGTAAACCAATGAAGCGCGGGAGGATCCCTTCGGTGGAGATGTGGAGGGGACATTCATGCGCAGTCGTGAACTTTTTCCCGCCCGCAGAAAGCGTCAGTCGCTGGCAGTCAGCCTATGAGTGAGGACGTGTAGTGAGCGCTCATCGGATTCCAGTAAGGTGTAAAATGATGGAACAACATGAGCAGCGATATTGCATCAAATTTTGCCAAAAGCTTGGCGATACCCAAGTGGAAACCATTCACAAGATTCAACAGGCTTTCAGGGACGATGCCATAAGCAACTCACGGATAAAGGAGTGGTACAACCACTTCAAAGATGGCCGCACATCAGTGGACAGTGAACCGCGTTCAGGCAGACCCTCAACAGGCCGAAATGAGAATGTCATTGAGCAAGTGCGGATTTTGGTCATGGAGGACCGTCGTATCACAGTCCGAGAACTTGCAAACAAGATAGGGGTAAGCATTGGATCAGTACATTCAATTTTGACCGAGGATTTGGGCATGAGGAGAGTGTCCGCGAAATTCGTACCGAAACTGCGCATCTGATTCAGACTTTCATTGCCAAACACAACATCCGTGTGGTTCGTCAGGCTCCCTACTCCCCCGACATGGCTCCGTGTGACTTTTGGCTATTTCCCACGCTGAAAGGAACCCAATTTGAGTTGAGAGAAGACATCATGCGGAATGCGAAGGCCCAGCTGATCACCATTCCAAAAGACGCGTTCCAGAAGTGTTTCCAACGATGGGATCATTACAACCTTGGTGCTGTGTACTGTAGGAAAATTCTAAGCAAAGGTGGTGTATGTATTTTTGTGCATAACTCTATAAATTATTCAAATATTAATTTGGATAGATTTTATATAGACCAAATTATTGAAATATGTGCTGTCAAACTCAAATCAGCCAGACAAAATATTTGTATAGTAGCTGTCTATAAAACGCCATCTGAGAATTTTTTACAATTTTTAAATAGTCTAGATAGAGTTTTAAATACTATTTATGGCTCTGGTGTTGAATTCATTCTATGCGGTGACATAAATATAAATTACCTACAGGATAGCCATAGGAAAAAACAGCATAATTCATTGTTATCGTCTTTTAATCTTTTTCCCATAATTGATTTCCAAACTAGAAGTCAGAATAATTCTGTTTCATTAATTGATAATATATTTATTGACTATTCTCAATTTGTAAAGTATTTCGTCTTTCCTATTAATACTGGTCTATCTGATGCACAACTCATTATTAGAAATATTTACCTGCAAATTCATGAATATAGAAATTCAAGCATTTCAACTATAAGAGTTTTTGATGCTCTGTCTTTGCTAAATTTTGAAATGCAATTAAGCTATGAAATGTGGGATGATGTATTTAGTGGTAATGATGTTGATACCATCTTCAACTCCTTTTTAAATACATATTTGAGAATTTTTCATTCTAGTTTTTCATTAAAAAAAATAATGACTAGTTCTAAGACAAAAGTCAATAATTGGATAACACCGGGTATAAAAATTTCTTGTCGACATAAGTGGGAACTCTGCTTGTTGTATAGGAATAATAATGATGCAAATTTAAAAAAATATTGTAAGTTATATTGCAGAATTTTATCTAGTGTTATTAACGCAGCTAAAAGACTTCATTATGATAGATTATTTGCTAATTCAGAGAATAAAATAAAAACTACTTGGAATATTGTTAAATCTGTAACAGGTAAAAAGTCATGGAATAAATCGTTTGAGTCAGTTTATATAAATGGTACTTTAACTGATAATCAACAGCTTATAGCTGATTCCTTTCAAAACTGCTTTCTATTAACAGCAGACAATATAATTTCCAATATCAATAACAATGAGGAATTAGAAGATAATAATTGTATTGATTATCTATACAGAGTTTTCAGTAACCCCTTTCCAAATATAATATTCGAACCACTAATAGCCAAACAATTCAATTAGATATCAGTTATAATAATAAATATATTATTAACAATACAAATACTCGGTTTTTAGGTATTACTGTTGATAGCTCCTTGTCATGGAAGCATCATATTGATGGACTTATGGTTAAATTAAGCAAAGTATGTTATGCTGTTAGATCTTTAAGACCCTTTGTGTCCATGAATCACTAAGGATGATTTACTATTCTTATTTTCGTGAAATTATGTCATATGGTATAATCTTCTGGGGAATTCACCTTATAGTATCAATATATTTAAACTACAAAAGGCCATAATAATTATTAAAAATTCCAGAAATAGGGATTCCTGTAGGGAGTTGTTTAAGAAACTAGATATACAGGGGATGGACAAAAATATGGAAACAGCCAACAAAAAACACATTACTGTGACTAATATGGCGTAGGACAACCTCTGGCTTGCAGTCTCCTTGGAATGGATAAAGAGGTCCTGTATGATGTACCATTCTTCCTGAAAAACATGGTAAGTTCTGTTATCGATGATGGAGATGGATAGCGCGCACGCAGATTGCTCTCCAAAACAGACCACAAAGGCTCAATAATATTGATATCTGGCGGTTGTGGGGGCCATGGCAGACGTGACACTTCATCTTCATTCTCAGAAAACCAGTCCTGGACGATGTGAGCTATGTGAACACAGGCAATGTTGGCTTGGTAAATGGCATCACCATTAGGGAACAAAGTTTGCACCATGGGATGGACCTGGTCGCCCAAAATGGTGACATAGTCGTTGGCAGTAACGTGACCTTGCAGGGTAATGATGGATCTGACAGAATACCACGATATGGCTGCCCATACCATGATCGAACCACTGCCATGTTTCACTCTTGGCAGCAAACAATCTGGATCGTAAGCTTGGGATGGCGTTCCCCAGACATGAACTCGACCAGAAGTCGGAAACAGTGTGAAGGTGGACTCATCCGACCAAATGACTGTCTTCCATTGCTCCATAGTCCAGGTTTTATGACTTCGGCACCACACTGTCCTCTTAGTGGCATTTTGATCACTGATGAGTGGCTTTGGAATTGCAGCTTGACCAGAAATACCCTGCTTGTGGAGTTCCCTTCATACTGTTTTGGTGCTGACAGGGTTTATGAGTGTGACATTCAGTTCAACAGTCACTTTTTCAGCTGTAGTCTTCTTATTTTTCGTCACAATCCTACACAATGTTCGTCTGTCTCAATCACTCAACACGCATTTCCGTCCATGCTGGTGTTTATGGGATGTGGTTTTTTCAGTCCTCCTGTATGCGGTCATAATCTTGGATACTGCGCCTCGTGAAACACCAAAAACCTCGGCTACCTTGGTTACGGAAGCACCCACCATACGGGCCCCAACAATTTGCCCGCATTTGAATTCTGTTAGCTCTGACGTGATGCACAAAAAATTGCACAGAACACTGTCTCGACAACAAATGAAGCTTGCAATGTATTGCAGAGGTTGTACATGTAGTGGTGTTGGGCAGATACGACAGCGTGACCTACAAACGTCGCTAAAATAAACACTTCAATTCAGGCACGCATTTCACGAGTTGTTCCCATATTTTTGTCCATCCCCTGTATTATCGTTTTATTATCATTATATATTTTCATTACTAATTTTTGTAATTGATAATATCTCCTTATTTAAAACAAATTCAGAGTTATATGATATCAACACCAGAGGTAAAAATAATTTTTACCATTCACAACTAAGATTGTCTATCTATAAAAATGGTGTTTATTATATGGGTATAAAGGCATTTAATCACTTATCTCCTTGCATAAAAAATTGACTGATGATAAGAATCAATTTAGAAATACTCTAAAAATTAGCTTCTATTGAATTCTTTTTATTCACTGAATGATTTTTTAATAGTAATTACTAATTTTAATGTGAATTTTTAAGATTTTATGTATCATAGGTGATATATTTTGGCATAAATATGTTATCTACCTTTTGGTATGACGATTTTTTACAATATTAAATTTAAGATGTTGTGTTTAATGTTAAAGTAGAAAGATAAACAATTTGGTTTATTGTTTGATCTGACCTATGCTTTTTTCATAGCATGTGTATTTTAGTTACTTGTCTGTGATTGGTTCTATATCCATCTGGCATATTTGTAGCCTAGATTGGATCGATGGAATTTTACAATAAACTAAACTAAACAGCTATAAAGTTCAGACTCCATAAAAGGTGGATAATTTTATGACCAGCTGAGTGACCATTATATAAACTCATGTAATTTGTTATGCAGCCTAGAGAATGTGCTGAAAGAATGAGTACTGAAAGGAACCCCATAAAAATACTGACACTAACAGAGAGAGAGAAGATGCTTGGGAAAACTTCCAGAAACATTGAAAAATTCTGCTTAATACAACCTAAAATGACAGCCAGGCCGAATACTAGGAAGGGTGTCAATGATGGTTTTGAAGCATGAAGCACAAAGAAGTTAACAGAGTGTGTTTGGAATGCAATACAATGAACTGAAATGTGAACTATTTTGCCAGTGGTGGACAGCCGGAGGGTAAGGGACTGGTTCTGAGTGTGAAAAGAATAACAGAACATAACAAAACATAATATAATATTTAATAGCTCTGTCTTTTGTAATAAGTATGGGGAATATTACCTCACACATTAAATTGTTATAAATTTTTCACTCAATATACGGTAAGTGAAATCATGTATATTGCTAGGTGTATATGCATGCTTCACTAAATTTCAAACATTATTTTTCAGCATTTTCTCTTGTGTGATGAACCAAAGATTATATCATCCTAAAGTCATAAAACAATGAAAGACATATGCAATACAAACAAAATGCCACTACCATTGTGAAACATAGTGGTTTAGAGATGAATCAGTTTCACTTCTTCACAGTTTTACTATATTAATAATAATTTATAGTACAGTCAAATAGAATGAGAAATCTTCATATACAAAAAACAAACTCCCTGGCTTGAGTCCGGAAGCGAACTATACCGACCAAGTGAGTACCACTTGTTGGTGAAGTTAGTGCCAACTTTAGCAAATAGAGGGTGTCACATGGTCAGCGCAATGATTCCCCACAGTCGTTGATTTCGGTTTTCTACACCAGAGCTGATGTTTCCTTGAAACAGCTCCTTAATTATCCTCATGAGGTTGAGTGGACCATGTTCAAAACCCACTACTTCTCAGAAAATCTGGTAGTGCCGGGAATCGAACCCGGAACATCTGGATCTTTAGCCAGGAACTCTGACCACTAGACCATAGAGGCAGTCAATCTTCATATATCATTTGATATCTAACATCTTGTGATGTGCAATGCTTGCTTGTTCACATCATCAGCTCAAAATTTGAGACAGTAGCAGACGCAAAACCAGAGGCAATTGACTGTACTGTCATATTGAAATTGCCAACCTTCCCCTTTTCTGTAAACCAACTTACCCACATATGTGAAATTCAATAAACTAAACAAATGGCATACATCATATCATATCCTGTACATCACTGATATTCCAGATACAGATTATGCCTGTAAATTATTGCTCATGAAGGATATGCAGAAAAATGTTAGGACTGTCTACACTGACAAGATTCTTTCAGTTTTCCTCACATATTCCCAGCAGATTTTAGGTTACTTTCTTTAAAACTTCATGACAGCAAGACACTATCTTGTGATTCTTGTGCTACCCAAAAATAATGTAGGCCACTAATTTCATCACTGTGTCAGATTTGAAAACTTGTTGTTAATTTACTTTTTGTTCAATTTCAGTAGCCTCTGCTCTGCAGAAAGCTTATATGTTGGTCATCTTGATAAACAAAAATTATCTCAGTTACTTAAACAGCACTAAAGGGAAGAAGAATTGCTTCACTCTTCCTTGCAATAAGGCAGCTAAGAGGCAATTCCTTCAGGATATTTCACAAAGCATCTTCCACTTAGAGACTAGTGAGCATGTTTAAAGTTCAGCATTGAACATCTGAACAAAATCAGCTAGATATACTGCATATTCTGTTAGTTTTAGGAACAGACATTTCAGTGTGTACTTCTGTAAAGTAACCAGCTCCTCTAGGTGGATGAGCACCAAGCTTCCCAAGTGTCCATTCTCTCTCTCTCTCGTGCTTCTGAATACACAATGCCCAAGTTTCTTTTGACATAATCTGATAGTAATAAACCTCTTCAGTTGATACAGCATCATCAAACGATTATGAACAAGCTCTGTGAACTAGCTGGCAGCAATTCATACTATGTATATGTTTCATTTGAGAGTACTAAGAAAAGTTGTGAGATGTGGGTGTATTACAACTATACTTTACCCACAGATAAACTGTTTCTGATGCAGGATCCACAACATGATTCGATACAAGTTTTACAGGAAGAGATATTTGCTTCATAACACTGTAAACACACCTCCTTCAGCTCATAAGATGTCACAATCAAATACAAATTTGGGGAGATAGAATGAGTATATACTATTAATCAGTCAACAGTTTACAAAGCAATTTAGCTCAAGTGGTGACCTATCCTGGATGCACCCATTTCAGATCTTGACCAGAGCACTGGACATTCACCCAGACCTTGCTGGCAAGGAGCTTCAACACAGTATCTTGAAAAAAGCTCTCTATTTCCTCTTTCCCAATTTTTACCAGTTCCTTATAAATAATCACCTTCTCATCAAATTCAGTGCTAAATAAACTCTGTTGTTAGTATACCCCAAAGCAGTGGAGGGCAATTATTTTGGCTGACAGGTTACATCACTAACTTAGGTAAGCTCTATGGGCCACATATCTTTATTGATGTAAAATTGTAAATGTTCCATTCAAGCTTCCTCTCTCTACATAAAGGAAACTAAAAGTAACAAACAGATATGAGATAAAAAATCTTTAAACTCAATAAAACAGAGTCAAATAGTGTTCTTCTTCTCAGTATTTAACATTACAAGCAAAGACATTACACTATATATATGTATATAATATATATCATTATATTTACACAGAAAATATCTGTACATTATTCACTGACCAGGTTTATTCTCAAAATGCACACTTCCAGATACTGGCTCTGTTTCCATATTTAGGCACAGGAGAACCTAATCTGAGTGGTATGTTAAAATTAGCTATTCTCACTCACATTCAGAAGTGAAGAAAGCACAATGTGCATATATTCTGTTGCAGTTTTAATATGTTGTTGCAAGCTGGTTGGAAAATGTTGTCAAGACACATTAGGTCTGCAGGCCTGCTTCTGCCCAACTTTGGATCATACTCGAAAATGCTCCCTGCATTTGGTCCTTAAAAATGTTCATGGTTCCTTCCACTCTTCTGGTAACATCTGTTGGAGAGTTTTAATACTGTAACAGATTGCATAATATGTCACAGCAGTGATCCTTTCAAGTACTGACTCTTGTTTCTGAGGCCTCTGTCTTTACATGAAATGATGTATTGGAACTATTTCTTTGCTGGAAATAAAAGAATGAAAGCTGTATTATGTTGTATCTGAACAGGGCCAGGTGAGGCTTAAATATCTGTGAAATAACTGATTAATTAACATTGCCATACACTGAGTTAGAACAAATTTTTTACATATATTTGTGGTAAGTAAAGAAAATTTCCAATCGTTCTTTGCCATTTTCACTTTTCTCACTGACTTATCTGATTACTTAACCTATTCATTACGTCCATAATCATTTTCAGTCATCCTCATGACATGGCACTCATAGTTTTGCGGATCCAATCAATGTTCGAAGTTATCTTATCATACAGCCTTGGACGTTCAGTTCCAGGCCTAGAGCAAGCTATTCTCCAGTTGCTAATTCCAACAAGAGTCCATGTTTTATTGTCAGAAAGCAAGCATAGCATTGGACTCCCAGCAAGTTCCTCTTCCTGGAAAGCAGGGATAATAAAATTAATAAATTAATAATAGATTCCAACATTGTGACAAACACAAAGTACTCAAAGTAATCTTTAATTCTTACATTGCAGTCATCTGTGAGATATGCTGGTTCAGTGCAGATGCTATTCACTGTGGGGATGCTGATGTTTTCACACCTTTGCATTGAACTCAATTTAATTTGCACACGCTGAAGTTGTTCTCCTGAAAACATTAATTCATCACAAACTATGCAATATAGTAAGAATTAACTTTCTTAAACCATTGGCCTACAATTTGATTTTATAAAATAATATGAAAACAGAATTTCTGGAAATAAAACTTAAATTACACTCAAATTTTTGTAGAAGCCCAGAGTCTTCTAAGGCTTACAGTTAACCCTGTTCTCCCCAGCCATTTTTTTAAGAATATTACCCAGTCTTTAATCCTTAATTCTCATTTCTTAATTATATCCACTGTTTTGACCTAACTCTTCTTTGCTGTGAAAACTTGAAATATCGGTGAATTACTTTTTTCTTACAGAGAAATGTTCTCTGCCAAGAACCATTAATTTTGTAACTAAAACAAGAGCCTACTAAGATTTGTTTTTCCCACTGACTTAGCTGTATAACTCCAAGATGTCCACCTGTTCGTGTGGGCTTACCTACTTTCACAGCTTTACAGTCTCTAGAATAAGGTCAAGTAGTTCACTTGTTTGGCAACAGATGTAGTATGCCTACACAGAGGTTTTGGAAATCTTTGTAATTTTATACAGACATTCTGATTAGATAAAATCTAGTTGCATACCATAGAGTTAATATAATTTTTGCTGTAGATTCAAGAAACGAGTTTTCTTAATGACTCTAGTCATGGTTTTTACTTTCTGGCCTTTGCCCACTTGGTAAGAGTCAGTAATGTATTTGAGATTTGGCAGATCAAATTATCAGCATAAAATCAACTCTGAGCCAAAGCATTCCCTATATTTGCAAATTTTGATTGTGTCAAATTTAAGAAATGGGGGAGTCAATGAAAAATCTCTGTGTTTAGCCACTCTATATTGAACTCAAAGACTTTTAGCATGGGAATCCTTACCTTGGCCTGAGACCATAAAATCCTCACACAAAGAAAAAAATTTACTGGATAATCTTGATAGTCAAGTGGACAGCATACAAATTTAGTATGCAAATGCAAAGAATCTTTAGTTTGATTCTAACTGTTCCCTGTAATATTATAAACAACAGTAAAAATAAATGACAGCATATTGAAAACAATTTTTCTTAATATTGGAGTTAAACATTGTGATTGAGTGCTCCATATATGGGAGTCTGTGTTCACTTCTCACCCCAGAGAATGCCTATTCTGACTGAAGTTTTCCATGGTTTTGTCTCAAACCCTCTGGACAAATGTTGGGAGAGTACCATAAAATAAGCAAAAACCACTCAACGGCCATCTTACCATTCATCACCATATAAACTATGCAGTTGAATTAATTACTCCTATAGGTATAAACAGAGCCAATTTCTGAAATGTCAGTCCTTAGACAATGGACAATGGCCAGGAATACTTACTGTTCCGTGCCCATCCCAAGGTATTGCAGTGTGAAAGATCTGACCCTTCTACAGGTAAGCAAACTGGATGAACAAAGTCAGACATGGTAACAGGTTGTTCCAACTTCACCATGACTACAGTGCTTCCTTCAACAGGCGATTTGACCATTCCAATAACAGAGCGCTCTTGATGCCATGGCGAAGATCCTGCCAGGCGGATAGTACCCAAGCGTGCCACCCACTGAGCTTTTGGTTGTCTTCAGGACAGAAATAAAAAGTGAGACCACACAGTGAACTGTATGCAAAAGTGGATGAACATAAAGTCAGAAAACATATAAAATACAGTATCTCTTTTAAGCAACATAACATGTTTCAAAAGCAAAGAATCTGAGAAACCCAGATTGTACACATACTTTTCTTCCCCCTGGTACTATGGTTCCACTGTAATATTCTGATTTATTTATTTCACAGTTTAAGGGACTGAATCGTTTTATGAACAAGAATGTCTTTTATTTATGGTATATACTGAAGACACCTAGTATACTTCAAATGTTTAGGATGCTTACAAAGATTACCCTTTCTGAAGTCAATTCCTTTCACTTACATTTACATTTACATTTACATTTCCAGTTCATTGATCCAATCCTTTCCCCTTAGGGCTGGATATAAAATATGTCACATATTACAAATTCATGATAACTACATATCATACATCTTAGGTCCAACAGAGTATATAAATCAGGCCTCATGCAGGCAGCACAAGTTGTCAAGACAATATACACAAGTTGTGGAAACACTATTGTCACATTCGACCCTGAATAAAATCTTTCATATTTCCAACTATAATAATTCTATATTGCATAATTGCACATTTTGTTATTCTACAGACATTGGCCAACTATATTATCAGTATAGTTTCATTTTGACATATTTTGAAATTCATAGCAAATACTGTTATTATACATACTCCCACACTTATAACAAGCAAAGTCTCACAATGTATTTATATAATATAAGCACACAGACTATTTATTTACTCTTAACATTCAAGTATTTGTATGTTCAATAAATTCGTCAATAGAGTAGAAAGAGTTACTTTGCAAATAATTTTGTAGAACAAACCTAAATAGACTTGAATGGATTCTGGCGATGGTGTATGCTGTACAGAACTATAAGGCTTATTTTGGACTTCATCCATCATCTGGTATATATAAGACAAAAAACCACAATGTTTCGGAGACTCGATCTGTCTCCATCCTTAGGTGGATGGGGCAGGATAGACCTACTCTGTTGGGCCCATTAGAAAGAGCTAGTCTCTATCACTGGTTTTTTGTCTTACATATACCAGACGATAGATGAAGTCCAAAATAAGCCTTATAGTTCTGTACAAACCCAAGTTGGTTTTTATCATTTTTTAAAGCTGAGATATTTGATGGCAGAGCATTAAATAGCTTGATGCCTGAATAACACACTGCTCTGATAGGATATTATATGCGTTATAGGTATCTGAAGGTGGTCATTCTTTCTTGTACTAATCATATATAGAGAGCTATTGGTCTGAAACTTATCACAGTTATTAATATGAAATGCCATCAGTGAGAGCAAATATATTCATGGGCTTCAATATGCCAAGCTTTTTAAATAAGCCTCTACATGTATGGGTTGGGTCCACTCCACCATTATTATTATTATTATTTTCTTTTGCATAACAAAACCCTTATGCCTGTCAGATGTATTTCCCCAATATATTATTCCATATTTCACTAATGAGTGAAAATATGCACAATATACTGCTTTAAGATTATTAATATTTAATATATAAGATAATTTTCGAATTAGAAAACTTCAGTTCAATGACACAAATTGATGTAGTAGAGCTGGATAATTCAATCAGTATAGTGATTAATCTACTGGCTGAACAACAGGAGAATCAGGGTTCAATTCTGGTGAGGAAGAGATTTTTCTCACTGTCACTTTGTCCAGTCCATCTCTAGGGTTCACTCAGTCTTCTATCCAAGAGGTACTACTGGCTCGTATTCTAGGGGTCATGATGTCTCACATACATATGCATTATGAACACAACTGTACTATATGATATACGGAGTGCTGCAACATTATGTTTTTGCTCCAAGAAATTCCAAATTTAAAAGAATAAATATGTGGAATAAATGACTGATACAAAATTAACTTTGTAGGTAAAAGGTTACGTTTTCATATATAAAGGTAAAATTGAATCTATGACTAAGCTCCACACCACAGAAGCATAGTGGAGGCAAGAAGTAGGGCTTCATTCATTACAGAGTTCAGAATTAGATGGACACAAGAGGTTAGCTTCACAATCCAGCTGATATTATTCCCAGGACTAGACCCTGCAATTTTGACTGAACAGGTAACTGGGTGGGACCATCGCTGGTGTGTGTGCAGTAGTAAGCAGAATATCTCTGTCTCTGCTGAGAACTGAACCCCAGTTGTCCAGCCATTCATATTATTGTCTAATCTATCCTGGATATGTACAATGGTATGAAAGAAATATTGAATGGATTTCCAAATTTTGAAAACTGGATGAATGTTAGCTAGAACATAGAAAACTGATAATTCTTTTCACAAATAGTTCAAGGTTTAATTCCATGTTTCCAAATCAGATTACTTCACATGATAAGCTTACCCTTGGAAACATGATGCAGTAGTCAGCAGCCACTCAGCAGACACAAGAGTTGCATCACAGACATGGACACCATCCTTGAACAGTGCAGCATGCCAAGGCCAGTCTCCATGGGCAGCCATTTTACCTAAACCTTGAATGCCTGCATTTCCTCGTAGACTTTGTGCACCACATTCTGCTCTCAAGTAGAGAAAGAGATTAATGCAAAGAAATTGCAGGCACTGTCTCGTGTACTATTGTACTTAAGCATCCTGTTGCATTAATGTAATATATATCACCATCTCACTGCAACTTTTATTTCTGTTTTTAGTATATGCCCAATCTTACTGCTATGCATGTTTTGGGTCATATATGACTATCATCAGGCATATGTCTCTGTTTCTTGTTATGTTGTTTTGCTCTCCATGTGTGTAGAGTGTAGATAAACTTTACAGACATGGACAGCTAAACATCATCACGAGGGACAAAGTGGTGACATCTGCACACCACCACAGTACACACAATAAAACACACATTAACAGTAAACCAACACCTATACGAGCAGCATATAATATTCAAGTACCAATGTCAAGACAAGTGAATGTGATGCATGTGACTAATGACCCCACTGTAAAAAATTACTAGTTGTGAGATCTGCAAAAGCAACAGCTAAATGGGCATATTTAAGCTAGAAAGGCAAATGAAGGGCCTGGCACTAAGTAGGGAAGAATGGAAGAAGCTTTTGGAAATATCAAGGGCCCACATAGGGCTGTAGAGCCAGTGATGATAATGATGATATACTTCTATGACAGACAAGGTGGCCTCTGAGTCTAAAACCAAGCCATCACAAATAGAGTGAGAATGGAAACTAAGGTCTACACTTTCTTAAGTGTAAGAGAAGGTAGACAGTTTATGCTTTCATGACCTGGTTGCATTTCCCTCTGGAAAAGAGCTCCTGGTACCCAGTACATAGGAGGGTGGGAGAACCCAGAGATAGTTTGGATGTGGCTGTGAAGTTCCTGTATCAACTGGAAACTGAACACTAGTCATCTAGTCCATATCCAATCACTTCACTGACTCACTAATATGTATTTGTGAGACATGCATTTTCATTGTTGTTTACTTTTCTTTAATGAACAGCTGTAATAAAAGTATAATATGGTCTCCAAAGTAAATTCTCTGAACAAATTACAGCTAACCTAATTTATTTCAGACAAATGCCGATATGGGGTCCCCCCTCAAAACAAGAAAGAAGCATTTATTCCCAAACCCAAACAAAATGCCACTTCATGAAAACCAAATCAACTACCTTCAGTAACCAAAGAAGAATATGGTGAAAGATGTGTGAAGACATACCAAGATTAGAACATCCAATGTAAAGAACTTCCTTTTTGGGACATGGTGCACGAACAAATGTAATTTCAGCAGCACTGGGGTCTTCCATATGAACATACTGAACTTCATCTTCCTTATCCTCCTGAATTCGAACAAAGTTCACATTTCTGTAACAGAATATACTTCATAATAACTGGAATAATTCTGATTCCTCTTGATCTTCTCCCCTGACAATGTGCAAACTTATGTGATACTGGAAACTCGTTACATAGAAGACACAAATGAAAAAGAAACCATATATGTTACTGGAAAAGTAAACTGTACACTCAAGATACAATCATGCTGATGGCTTTCACGTGTAAAATTTAACATTGCTTTATTTGAAGTCACAAATATTTACTTTTTTAATCAGAAAACATGTCACATCTGAGTACTGTCTGACTGAGTACTAAAGGTACCTTCCAAACTGCACCTACCAGTGACGTAGGCTATCTACACTGCCAGATAGAGTTTCATTCCCATACTCTTCACATCATCCTTTTACATCTTCATAAAGAAGTAGAATGCCAAATAAATCGTTGAATATTTTAGTCTTCTGATGCCTTTTGATTCAGGGCATGTCTGCTAACATTCAGTTCAGATTCTATAGTTTTCTTGTCCCTCACATTACAAGAAGAACATAGACCAGGTGCTGAAAGAATATTTTTACCTCAGGAAGAGGAACAGGAAACTTAGGCATAGATATGAAGATAACATAATAATGGATCTTAAAGATACAGTGTTTGAGAATTTTTTCTGAAATCATCTGGCTCAAAACAGGGTCAGTGGCACACTCTTGTGAACACCATAATTAAAAGGGCTCATTTCTTGACTAGCTGAGTAACTCGTAGCTTTTCAAGACATCTTTATGATGATTTCAAAGTATGAAATATATTGCTCACAATTATGGTAACAACGGGAAAGCTTCTCATGTTAAGTGTATCATGGTTCTGAGGCAGTCTGGAACCTCTAGTGATCTAATTTCTTGTGCATAATGATGGCCAAATTTATGAATTATCATCAATGTTCTAATACAGAATTATTAACCCACTTTTCTCTCTTTCCTGATGGAAATTTTTTGATTCTCAGCAAGGACTGAGAATTTTCCTTCACTACAGTCAGGGTTCTAGCGCTCTTACAGTGTACACAGTTCCAAGATGGCGAACAGTGAAGTGGAAGGTGTATCTGATGCCACAAATCTTTACTGTAGTATTGAGATGGAAAGTGAAAGAAGCTGCAAGTGTTGTGAAGGGTTAAAAGTGGAACTTAAGAAGGTGTTATTAGAACTTAGTTCAGTAAGAGAAATTATTAAAATGCTTCAAGAAAGTGGTAACTATGGAGGATGGGCTGAGTGTGAAATCACTAACCGGCCGAAGGTATATCAAGAGAAAAATTTTGAAATGAATAAAGAAAATGTAACAGTAACAAAAGGATATGGCAAATGTGCCCACAAGATAGAAGCAAACCAAACACAGGCATTATCAAAGTGTGTAATAAAGGAAGCTAAGAAGAGGGAAAATGATAGGCATATAGCTAATGCAAAAACAAAACTAGAGCAATGTGGCAAATAGTGAATAAGGAATTAGGAAATAACCTGCAAAGGGAACTGGGAATAGAACTAAAGTGCAGGACAAGGAAAGAGGCAAATCCACAGCGTATAGCTGAAATGTTTAATTTATATTTCGCGGACATAGTAGGAAAGCTTGTCAAGCAAAATCATAGTATGATGTTGTGCTGAAAAACACCACAGAGAATAAATACCTGTAATGAAACCATGTTTATTTGTCCAGTGACAGAAAACGAGATATTAGAAATGGTGAAGAAAGATAGGGGGAAATTTTCAGCAGGTACCGATGAAATACTGGATTATGTGGTTAAAAAATGTATAGAAGTGGTTAAAACGCCATTAGCCCACATTTATAATGCCTCTTTAGAAGCAGCTATTTTCCCAGAGAGATTTAAGATACCAAAGGTAAAACCACAAGAAGGATATGAAAAATTATAGACCAATATCCTTTTTGAGTGCTTTCTCGAAAATCTTGGAAAAGTTGATGCATAATAGGTTACTCTCCTTTTTGACAAGAAATACCATATTAACAGAGGCCCAACATGGATTTAGGCTGAATAGGTCGACTGAGACTGCAATTTACTCTTTTCTAGCAAACATACAGGAATCAGCTGAGAAAAAAGAAAACAGGTCGGAATTTTTGGTGATTTAACTAAAGCATATGATGCCATAAATCATGACACCTTCTTTCTAAATTACAAACATATGGAGTTAGAGGTGTGGCAAACTTATGGTTTAAATCATATTTGGCTTACTGGAAGCAAGTTGTTGAAATAAATTGTGATGGCAAAAAATATACATCGGCTCCAAGAGAAATTAAAGATGGAGTACCACAGGGTTCAGTGCTTGGACCATTATTATTTTTATTATACATAAATGATCAGCCTTTGAATATCAAAGAGGTGATGATATAAATATTTTTGTAACAGTTCAATGAAAATAATCTTATATTGAATACTGAGAAAACAATAGCAATGGCATTTCATTAGACAAGAAAGAGATTTGATGAAACCTCAAATCAAATTTGGCAAAATGTACATCTCCTATAAATGTGAAACGAAATTTCTAGGTATACATGTTGGCGAGCATATGGAGTGGAGAGCACACATGATGTTCTTAAGCTCAAAACTTTATAAAATCTGTTACATGATAAAATCCCTTAGGGATGTAACAAGCCGACAGGTTATAAGGAGTATTTACTTTGCTCAGTTCCATGCTTATTTGAAGTATGGTTTAACTTTCTGGGGTAGCGACCCAAAAAGTAAAATTATATTTAAATTGCAGAAACAAATTGTTAGAATAATTAGTGGTGTGAGTAGATTAGCATCATGTAGACAATTTTTAAGGATTTAAACTTATTTCCACTACCTTGTACAGGTATAATGTTGTATCACAGAGAAGAGAGGTTTTCTGGGAGTCTGCATTGCTTTTAATTATGTGCACATATTGCGTGGTGGTTTTCTATGTGTAAGTGGTGCACATTCTGTTTCCTTTTTTGATGTCATGAGTGACATTGGTCAAGTTTTGTATATTTTATTATGCTCTGTACATGTTACCATGCTCCTTGCTGTTAGATAGTGATTGTTACCCTTCTGTAGTTCTATTTTCACTCTACCTGCCTAAGATGAAGAGTCAATTCTTATTTCAGATAGGCGATGACTACTTACTCATATGACAAGATACTGCACAATGACGTGGCAATGGTGCTGAGTGTTGCTTCTCTGTTGGGTTCAGGTACTGTGGCATTCAAGTTTTCTGTGCAGACTTTCCCAAATTGACCCTTCTCATTGAAGACAACATATCCTTCGGTGTAGTACTGTGAATGGTGTGGGGTTGCAGGAGACATGTTGACAACAGATGACAGGCTAGGAGCAATTGTCACTGAAAAAGAAACTAAACTGTGAAAAAATGATAATAACTGCAAATTTATAAAGAATATTGCTATTACAGGTACACCGTGATTTATGTCCCTTGGGTTTCTGCATTTTCATGTATACTCTGTGCAGTTCTCATTCTTGAAAACCTTCCATAATTATGTACTACATACTCATGCACACAGTATGTCCCACAACCTGTAACTCACTCTGACTCATTTCACAAGCAAGATATCCTGATGGATATGTACACATCATTAGCAGTGCATAGAGATTGTTGTAAATACAATGACCTCTGGATGCTACTTACTATTTTTTTTATCATCTTTATTACATAAATTCAAATGTTTTAAGTTTTAAGTTGAAAATCCTCAAATAAATAAAATACAGGTTTCAAAACATAACCAGAAGAAACATCTGTCTATTAAACTACTCCTTCCTACTATAATAGACTGCCATAAACCTCCATCATTTTTATGTAATCCAATAAGTAAACTTCACTAGAACTTTTACCCAACTATATTAACTTATAGTGAATCAATTAAATCTTTTAATATGAATTCCTTCACTCATACTTACATGTATAAATATCCACCTTTCACTTTAAATAACCAAAAAGATGTCACAATTACTAATTTCAGCAATGAAAAACATGTGCTTAGGTAGATAACTCTGATTTTTAATATTTTCCAACAATGTAACAATCACATAAAATGCAAGATATCTGTATTATATTTTATTATCTCTGTAATATACCTTACATAAGGTTTCTTGAATTCTATTTGCTCAGCAGGGATTTTCTATTCCCCTGCCTGACGAAATTCCAAATCAAATACTGCGAAATTAAAGATAAATAAATACTCTCAAGTGCAGCTTTTTTAGTGGGCTGCAGTGGTGTATTTTACTGCTTGCTTTGAGGTGCTTTATAAAATGCATCAGTTATCACTGTTGTAATAATAATCCATTCATCCATTCACCAGAGAAAAGTCACACTGTAAAACTCCTTATCCATTCTTTTACATGTATATCTTCCTACATGTAATATTGTTGCAATTGTGATCACTCTTTCCATCTCCTTTTTGTTTAACTTCTTCTCCACTTTGCCTCACCACCAACACTGTGATATGGAAAGAAGGTTACAAGAGGCAAGCACATAAAATCTGTTCTATTTGAAGTTGCAGTTGCAATAACCTCTGATACTTTGTGACAATTTTATATGCCATAATATTTTTGCAGAGAAGATATGGAAAAGAAAGGAAGGAGAGAAGGCAGGAAGAAGGGATAGGGAAGAACTGAAACAGGAAAGGAAGGAAGAATATGGGAAAACAACAGAAGAGAGAGAAATAGAGATGCAGGAGGGGATTAAAAAGAAAGAAAGGAAAAATGAAGAGAAGAAAATTAAAAGACTCAAATATTTGACCTGATGGCACAGGAATGTTGAATCATTCCTATGTTATTTAGACATAACAAATGATGTATGATAATAATTACGAATAGTGAGCATAGAAGAATTTGTAAGACGTTTGCCACTCATTTAGAAGTAATATCCAAGCACTCACTTGGACAGAATTAAGACAGCAATCAGCAATCTCAGTCAGGATATAGAGGCACAGTGCTCACATTTAAGCAAGATATGTCCAACATTAAGACAGCATTAGCAACCAAACATCGCCATTGTTTCAGTGACTCATTCAGTTTATACTTACAGCATCCTTTCTCATCACTGCCATCAGGACAATCGTTCGTTCCATCACAACGTTTTTCCACTGAGATGCAAACCTTGCCTGCCCCACAGTGGACATGGTTATCTGGACAGTAGTTACAGCTGGTTTCATCTGAGAGGTCTCTGCAGTCTACCACACCATCACACACTCGTGCTGACAAACCACGCGCTTGAAGTTCCTTCACGCAACCTGTCATAATAGTCACAATAGCTTCAACTTCTTTGTGTTTTGCTCCATTCAATAACTTTTCCTCAACTCCTCAGCTTATATAACAAGCAAGAAGATAGCTGTGGGAGGAAGCAGCCATATGCCATTTCCAGGTAATATACAACCACTTATCTTGATAGTAAGAAGAAAACCATGATAAACTTTTGGCAAGATAACTGACCTCAGTGTAGAAAATCAAACACAGGATCTCCCAAACAAGAAAGTGAAGTGTCATCCACTGAGCCATGATGTCTGGTACCCAGCTTCTTTTTGAGATTTAAGGTTTTCAAAGCAATTACGATTTATATTTTGGTCTACACAGTTATGATACCACATGGTCTAACAAAGGGTTACCAGTCTTTTTCTGGAACATGCTACCACCATATTCTATCCTGAAGATCCTCTAAAGCACTGCTAACCACCTACCAGACTCTACAATCTTACATGAAATATGCAAATGAATTTGTACAATACCAATTATAAACACAAACCCATCACTCAGTAGCATTCAAAGTGAATGTGCTTTGTAAGAATGCTGATAATTCTGCCCTTAGTAATGCAACACCCATTAAAAATGTATTTGCAAATAATATTTCAATTGAATGCACAGTTAATTTTACAGAATGTCCCAAAAGTCCTTGACCACAGGAGGCCTCAGTTATATGGCAAAAGACAGAAAACTGTGAACTAGGAAATGCTGTTGCAAATCATTTGTGTACACTTTACAGTGCTGGAATTTCTTGTATAGAAGAAGTCATTTAGGTGGTACACTCTTTAGACAACAGCAGTAAGAAGTTACACAGTGCTTGTGCACAAGCAGCACAGCACGCATACAAACCACACCGTTAATAACAAGAACACACCACCAAGGTATATATGACAATTCCTCTATTAAGGAAGATAAAACCAACGCACATTGGTCCACGAATAAAATTCTTATCTTAAAACAAGTTTATACACACTCATAAACATAATTTTAACATAAGGAAGGCTGCTGTGGTGAAACAAATTGAATTTCTTATATAAAATACATTGGAACATTTTTAATTATCCATTAGGGAAGTGATTGCAATTATGCCACTTCTAAGTAATACAATTCAAAAACGTTCTTATACAAAAAAAAAATTACATCAAGGTCTATATGACAAAAATCAACAACTACGTATAGTGAGCATCATAAAAGTTTTAAGTGTTTCTACTCTTAAAAACTTTGACGTATTAGTGGATTCCTGATCGTAGAGGCATTCCTCTGATGATGATTCATTATGAATTGAAACATGTTGGGTAACTAAGTGCTAAAGTGGTGGAAGCATTATATGTCACATTGGATTGAAATAAACTTAATTGTAAACCACTAACATAAATTTGCTATTTAGTTGCTTATTAGCAATCCATAAGCAGCTGAAGATGCTGAAACAGTGAGTACTTTCATAAACTTTGAATTTAACTTGTCTTTCATATACCTGGTTTTGAATTGCAGGACCCTGGTCCATTGAATTCTGGGAAATGTCTGCAGTCTAGATTATCTTTCAATCTAGCAGGGACTCTACTGCCACAGCCAGCATGAAATTCTCTACAAAAGCTACGACAAGGCAGAACCATCCTGTCCTCGGCTTCCCCAGGCAGCTGTGCAATACAGGAAGGCTGCAGTAGCTGGCATACAAATTCATATGCCAGTCGATAGCATTCTGCATCCACAAGCTCTCTGTACAAAGATGTATCAAGTAACTCACTGTCAGATATTTAACTGTTATATTAAATATGTGGGTCAAGCAACCATAGCTAAACAGATTAACACAAATTTTCAAATGGATGAACATAAATTAATACTTAAAATAAAAAACAAAACTTAATACTTGAAGTAATATACTAAACTCAATTCAATTCATATTTATTTATGCACAAACTTAACAGCACAGAGACCAATTACAGAGTTAGCACAAGTTACATAAAAATAATTAAAAAACAAAATACAACACATGAAAGTCTGCATAATAGAAATAAATTAATAATTCCAAGAAAAATTAAAGTTAGCGTTAACAGGAGAGAAAAATAAAATAAGACCAATACACATACATACAAACACGTAATATTAAGAGTATTAACAAATATTAGTAACAATTTTAGGTTCAATATGATTGACAGAAACTGTTGCGATTGCAAATATGTCAAGATCTTTACCCACCGCGTTGGCAGCATAGGCGCACCGAGCAGAAGGACAGTGTTTATTAGAGGGACAAACAGCAACCAATGAGAAGTCCCTAAGATTGTTGGGAGGAACACGAAGGCTAACATTTTCCAAAAGAGACACTCAATGTAGGAAAATCTGTAAGTATTTGAGTGAATGAGGCCTAAAAGCTTTATGCATTCAGAATATATGTAAATAACATGTGTGTGAAAATGTAGCTTCGAACCAAAGACAACACCAAGGTCCTTAATACTGCTAGTGCATGTAATGACATCATGATAAAGCTGATACTCGTAACTCAGAAAATTTGTTTTTCTGGTGTATGACACAACACACATTTTAGCAACATTAAGATAAAGAAAATAATGGAAACTTCATTTCTACTTGACTACTTCAGTGGCTGTAGAACACAAACATTTGTGGGAATCTCCCACAGTCAAACAGACATTTCCCATAGAGCAGCAAGAGGAGGCAATATTTATACACTACAGCTTTCAACCTGGTTGTCTGTACAACCACACAAGTGCTAACCAAGCACTGACCACCATACCAGCTCCAACGTCCATTATGAGAGCCTCCGTCCCACAGTCAAACAGACATTTCCCATAGAGCAGCAAGAGGAGGCAATATTTATACACTACAGCTTTCAACCTGGTTGTCTGTACAACCACACAAGTGCTAACCAAGCACTGACCACCATACCAGCTCCAACGTCCATTATGAGAGCCTCCGACAAGGTCACATCAGGTTCTGAGAGACTGAGTCATTCGCTTCAAGGTTGGAAAAAATAGATTCATTTCGGTTGAGATTCATTGAAAATCGACTTGTCTGCAGGAGAATTTCTCATATCTCGCGGTGGAAGGGTATGTGTGTGTGTTTTTGCTGTTTGGAGTAACAATATTATTTTCTGACTGACTCAGAACTAAGTGCAGGTTAGAAGACTGAAGAAGATTGGGTTATGGTTAAGGGTACAGAGTGGGTAATGTTCAGTCTAATGTGACATACAAGTTCACAACACTTCAATCCTCGTTCACCTTACATGTTTCAATTCAAAAGAATCATCTTCAGAGGTGCACCACTACGATAAGGAAACAGTGTCACATAAGATATTTTAAACAATACACATTTAAGCTATGAATAATGCTCACTATATAAATTTTGATATTATCATGATTGGTATTGATGTTTGTCTTAGGCACTCACAATGGCTCTTCTTGAAGTGTAGATTTACTTATGATGACGTTTCTTTTAAGTGTAATTGCTGGTTATTCTGACTGGGGTTTTGCACTGCATGCAATACGAAGTTCACTCTTCAACACAGTTGCCTCCCAATGCGTTTAAAATTGTATTAAAATTTCTATGTAAAAAAATAATTATTATGTTAAAATATCTTGAATCGACATTGGGTCATGTTGTTTTCCTCCTGATGGTGGGAGATGTCGTTTATTTCTCTTGATTTTATGTTCTTATTATTAGTAGTGTAGTTTACGTGCGTGCTGTGTCCTCAAAGAAGTTTTGCTACCAAAATTCTGCATGCATTACTTGTTCCCCCCATTCAATCTATATGTATATGCAATGTCCTTGTCAGAGTCAACTGTTACCATCTAGCAATATTAGGTGATCTGCATAAAGTAAGTGAAACTTAATTCTATTGAAAATATGTCAACAATTGAAATGTTCCAACCTCTCAAAATGTGTGCAATGATTTACTCATATAAAGTTAATTAATTCCAGGAATTTGTAAAAAAAATCAAATATAAATTTGTGTAGAGTGATGAAAACATCACGTAACTTTGAACGTTATGACTTTCAGGGAGCCTCAAAACGAACCATGAAACACTGGTTAGTATGACTCAATATGCTGGCTAACAACCCTCAAGATGTACTGTCATCCATAGCTTAAGAATGGCAATGTTGGAGAGCCATCTCTCAGATTATATTTAGTAAATGTACAGAATGGTGCACAAGTAATGTTACAGTTTAATGTCCATTTTAACAATATCCTATATTTGAAGTATGGGCTGGAATAGCTGATAGTTAATAATGGACTGCTGGAGTTCAGTTTTTGGTGGGAATAGGAATTTTTATCCTCAAGACCATGTCAAAACTGGCTCTGAGATCAATTTAGCATTCAGTCAGATGGATACTGGAGCTACATACTGCAATGTGAAGCTAATCACTCACTTCCATACAGTGCCTAGGTGTGACTGTGCTGAAGCATGACTGGTTAGTCACCAAGTTCAATCCCAGGGCAGTACCTACATAATCTGTTGTGAATAAAGCAGTAGTGGGGCAGATTTTTATCTCAGTCTAGTTTTACGCTTTTATCATTATTCCACCTCTGTTCCATAATCTATCACCACCTTTATCATCAGAGCCTGGTACAAGAGGCCCATTTGAAGCAACAGTACAAAAGAATGAAGTCTTATCTTGTATCTACATTATATTGTTATTGTAGTGTCACGACTGTGAAAATATGGGCCTTTATCACCATTCACACTGTACACTTGGTATAGTGGAAAGGCATAATGTTCAACATAAAGCTTTGCTTTGCCTTTGTTCAAAGGGGACAAGGGATGGTAGTAGTGGGACATCAGTAGAGTTGTACAAGAAGTCGCTGAAAGCAGTCAGTCAGTTCAGCAAAGTTATGCACTCTGTCACAGGGATGACAGGTAATTAAATTTATGCAAATTTATACTTAAAAATACCTGAAGGTAATGACATCATCCCGCACCTCCTTTATTGACCTGTGACCCAGTTTGTTTGGGTATGAGGTGACATTGTAAGGAAGCTTGTTGCAGTACTCCAACTCTATTGGTCCACAGAGTCTTGGAGGAGTGGGTGTTGCTGTACTAGATGGAGTTGTCACTACTGATGTTGTAAGTGGTAGTGGTGTTGTCAGAGCTGCACTACTTTCTGAAACAAACAAGAAAACAAGCATATTGGCCCCATTTATAGGACCACTGTGGCATAATATTTCTCATATAGAGAATGGTATTGAAACAGAATATTCTGCATACTGAGAAATTTATTTTAGCTTTATGTAGATATCATATTTATTCTATATAATAATTTAAAAGCAGAAGATCTTTGTGACACTTAAGAAGGAGGTGATTTAAAGGTAGAAGAAGTTTCCAGATTGCCCTTGATAGACTGATTGGAGTAATGAAAGAAAGAAAAGAATGACTGAGTTTACATTTATCATTAAATTCATGAAACAGTTTATCCAAGTGACTGCCAATATTAAAATTGTCTAACTAGCTGACTGACTGCCTAAATGGCTGACTAACCATGTAACTAATTAACTAGTTGACTGACTGACTGACGGACAGATTGATTAATAATGAACAAATTATGTAATTACCTAACTACCCAACTATTCACCTAACAACACAACTAACTAACTAACAACTTAACTAATCAACTCTACAGAACACAGTTCCTTTTGACAAGCTGGACAGTTATTCAGACAGTCAAGAAATTCCATGTTTTCATGGAAAAGCAAGGTTCATTACCCTGTTCACAAGAACTTGCCACTAGGCCTTGTCTTGGGACAAATTAATCCAGTACACATTTTCATGTACCAGTTTTTGAGAAACATTTTGATATTATCCACTGTATCTCATATCTATATGGACTACTTCATTAAGAATGGCAATAAAACACACAGACTGTGAATAATAATTAATTGAAAACAATTTGCAGATTGCCAGATTATTTTAGCAGCATCAAAAACTCTCCCCAGAGTTTCTGGCAAAAATTAGTTACATATAATTTGAAAAAAATGCTAACTTTGAATAATAAAGAATTGTTTCAAATTAATGATAGTGATTAATAATCATATTTCAGAGGGCCTCCCAACTCCCAAACTTCATTTTCCTTTTAGTTCATAATTTAACATACTTTTATTGGAATCCTGTCAGAACCCAACTGTCAACATTTTCTTCACAATTTCTTCTAAATATATTTTATAGGTCATGTTATTTGTTGAATGGGTATCTTTTTGTAATTTTTTTATTTTTTTACGATCCACAGTCTTAAAAAATCTGCCTATAAGAATATTGTTTTAATTATTAGTGCAGAACAATAAAATAGACTTTAAAACAAAGAACACAAAAATGAAAATTGCTGTAGTTATGTAAGGCATTGGGGTGCCTGCTCATTTGTAACACACTGAATGTTGGAAATGAATCAGCAACAGTAGGAATGAACTGAATTAGCAGACATATTTTCTGAGATCAGACTAATTTAGACAGCTCCTTAAACAAGAGAAGGATCAGTTCATATAGAAGTGTAATCAGAGCAGGCCTTTATGCTGATGATATAATCCTCCAATCCATATCCAGATCTCCCATTAATCTCTTCACTTCACATTTTATTAAAAATACTGAGACCAAAGATAAAGAAACTGGACTAAAAATATGTGGAGATTTGGCATGCATTGATCAACCTTATGGGAAATGATACCAGAAGGAGAGAAGAGGGAATTTGTTAGTTAAACTGGGGTGAATATTATATCGTTTTGTATAAAGACAAATCACTGAAGTTCTAAATTTCTTTCACATAATATTCTTGTAACTATTACACATGCATATTCAAGTTCAGTAACTCTGCTTTGTAATGAATTATGATTGTGAATGTATGAGTTCACCTTTAATTTCCAAACTATTTGGATCGATGGTAATGTTGGAAAGGTACCGAGACTCCTCGAGTGATATTTCTCTTGAGAGCACTGTCATCAGGTCAGGAGCTCCAACATCTAACTGGCGAGGATCAAAGTGCAGATTAAAGTGAACTATCAGACTGTGTCCTTCAACTCTGAAAGAGAAACAATATTGAAGTCTAACCTGAAGTAGTCATTGCTTTTACACTCATTAACTTAGCAAAATGGTGACTACATATTTGAACATATTTATGAAACATGAATATGATGACATCTATTGTCATTTGTTTTTACTTATTCTTACTTGTCCAATCACAAACTCAGTGAACTTCATGCAGTAGAGTCCTTCTTGAGAATCTAATAGTTGCTCAGCTGGTCAAAAGAATTTCCTGCCTTGAAGAGAACTCCAAGGTCCTTTATTGAATAAGATTTTAGGTTCTCACTATTCTGTCTTCTTTAACGTGTTCCTGAACACAAACTGGTAAATCTGACACCCAGCATGACATTGTAACGTTAAGGAAAATCAACATAGCCTAATATAAATAACCTAATCTGCTACTGTTATCATTCCATTGCTAGATGTTTTATGTGAGAACCTTCATCTCAAGCTTTCATTCATTTTGATAAAGGTAAATACTCATCAGAAAGTATTCGGAAGTCCTGCTTTCTACTCTATGAGCTAATAAGTTCAGTTTGCATGCAATTTCTTGGTTTATTACACTAAATTGTAACACTGGAGTTACATGACATCAATTAGTATAATAATTGCAATTAGTGTGAAAATTATGGAAGAAAGTGTTGTGGTTCATTTTAAGATATCATCCAAACACTTTCCTTGAGGATGTGAAGAAAACCACGAAAAAGCTCAAGATTACCAGTCCTCAGATCAATATTCAAAATCAGAATGTCACAGGAGTAATACCACAATTTTCAACATATACATTTTCTGGTCTTCAGTTTCTTATATGTACTGAATCACTATATTTAGGCACTAAGAATACCTCTGGTGTTTATCTGCCATGGACAAAGATTTGGAGGGAAGACTGTGGGCAAGAGATTTATTAATACTGATGCAGAAATAAGTACATGAAAGAAGGCAGGAAGCAAGAATAAAGAACACAGACACTGATTAAGTAAATATGGAAGTGGGAGAGGATAGTATGAAAGTGTAAGAGTGAAGTGGAAATAAATATAGGTCTCATAATTAGTAGAGATGGTAATGTGTTATTTATAATAAAAAAGGTTAACAAGCAATGTATAATGATATACTGATATACTGTGCCAAGGAGTAGGAACAGGGGGTCAGACTCTCTAATACCAAAACTTAAACAGTAACAGACATAAGAAAGCATTGTTAACTATTTGCAGTGGATAGAGATATGTATTGCCAATCTCAGAGGCCATTCAGTCTAAGGCATGAACTATCTTCTGCTCTCTTAGCTCACTCAAATGCTGAGATCATGGGTTTGAATACCACTCAAGAAACGGATGTATGTTTGTATGTGTGTGTGTGTGTGTGTGTGCATGTGTGCGTGTTTATTCTGTGTTTGTGCTGTCATGTATGTAGGTGGTGACCTTGAGATTGGCTGATCACTTGTCCAAGGAGTCCTACCATCTGCATAAGAAAGACTACGAAACTGAAGAAGAGGCCAGGGCCCAACAAAGGGCTGTAGAGCCACTGATGAATGAATGAAGAGACATGTACTATGCTGTAAATGCTCAGATGTTCCTACACTACATTAAACACACTAGTCATGATTGGTGCGATACACTCAGACTTATAGTAGCTAAGCAATCTCTTTAAGCTACACCACTAGACAACTACTACTCCAGACACCTTACAATAAGCATTATTCTTCCTCACATGGAATATTTTTATTTTCATGAGTTCTTTCTACAAACTCATTATGCAGAGATATCTATTTGTTCTCATACATCAGTACTGGAATTTCTTTATGGAGTTCAATAAAATTAAGTATCAGGGACTTTAATTAAAATTTGGTGGGAAACTTCACATTGGTCAGCAAGAGCCAAATATGAACTACACTTTATGTCAAACTTAAATCAATTTTCTTAAGTTTCTCATTTTCAAAAATGGCCCACCTCACAAGAACAAGACACATACATAAAATATAAATACTGCTTGAAATATTTTGGATGTGATGTACGATTTATGGGGCACAAGAAAAAATAATTATAACTCCTAGCAGTAAGATATCTGCTCCATTCATTAGGACTATCAAAACAGAATTTATGCTAATGTGTTGTGGTTTCTATGCTGTTGATTAAAATTCCAACAAATTTGTGTCTAAAATAAATTTATATCATAGACAATGGGTATACAGAATAGGAAATAAGGCATTTTGAAGGAGGAGGAGGAGGAGGAGTAGAAAGGAAGGGGGAGAATGGGAATACCCAGAATACAAGTCAGCAAGACAAACAACAGTAAGAACAAGTCCAAAATTTAGTGTCTATTTCATATTGCTTAGGTTGATGCAAAAGAATATGTACATGTCCAAGGCCCTGCATAATATTTTGCAACACAATTACATTTATGATGAGAATTTGCTAGCCTTATCCTCTAGCTGGAAAGCTATCCCTTGCTGGCAGATCCCATTTATTTTCCAAAATGCAGAAGAATAATTTTGCTACTTGCTTTGTATGGGTGTGAAATACAGTCTCATTTTAAGAGAAGAACAAAAATTACTGGTACTTGAAAATATTTTAACCTAAGAAGGATAGGCAAATAACAAGTTAGCAATTTAGGGCATTATATAATGTGAAAGTTTCTGGCTACGAGTATATGAGTACATAACATCTAGTATTGTTAAAACAGTGAAATCTAGAATGTTATGATGGGCTGTGCATTTTACTTGATGGAAAAACAAGGAATGCTTAGGGATTGTGGTGAGGAAACCCCAGAGCAAATGTCTGCTTCAAATAATGAGGAGCAGGAATAATGACATTACAATGAATCCTACAGATACAGGCTGTGAGGACAGAATGTGCATGGACTTGGTTCATGAATCATGTCTGCTATAAAAACGTGGTACAAGAATTGTTGAACACTGTTCTGCTGCTAACAGTGTTAGATAGTTTGTGTACTAAAATTTGGAGTTCAGCTTTCTTCTCATTATAACACAATTTCATATGGTGAAAACTTCATATAAGATAATGACCCAGATCTCATAAAAGTTTATGTTTATTGCTGTTCAGTTTCTCACATACCACTACAGAAATGTTATTCCACTTCTTATTTAATTTATTTACCTATTGTTCACAAAATAAATGGCGTGGGATATAGAGTGGCATTATAAAATGTATAAAATAAAGAGAAAGAAGTCCATGATTTATTTAATCCGTCTTGCAGTGCATACATTCATTTATCTCCTTCTTTCCCTCGCACTACATGTTTCGGCATAATAATGCCATCTTCAGGTGCTTACTTGNTTATACTGTTTGACGTGGACAAGTAAGCACCTGAAGATGGCATTATTATGCCGAAACATGTAGTGCGAGGGAAAGAAGGAGATAAATGAATGTATGCACTGCAAGACGGATTAAATAAATCATGGACTTAAATCAGTGCAACAGGACGCTAAAATATAACAAAAGAGAAAGAAACTGTTTTCCTTACTTGACTAAAACTGAAAATGGAGGGAACTGCATTAAGAAGAAATCTAGTTTGAATCTATTCTGAAAAATATTCTAGGAAGAGTATTGTTGTCCAGAATATGGTAGCACATAGTCTGGTAGAAGGTGGCTAATGTTTTGGAGGAAAATTGAATTCCCACCAGACTACAGGCCTGGTTTAAAATATGGCAATGAACACGCTTGTAACATAAGTGGAAGTCACTCGTGCAATTTCACCCTTCCGCTTGTTTCATCCTCACATAATACTCAATGGATTCCTATGAAATTTGGTATTGCAGTGGGGGAACTACCTTACCAATTAGCAGGCAAAAATTTTTATCAATGCTTTAAGGAAATTTGAAAGTAGCACAGAAAATGTCATAACATATAAAATGCAAAACTCATTAAGATAAAATTCTATTTTAAATATTTTTAGATATAATGTATATTTAAGGAAATTAAATAGGTGGACCCATTATTGCATGTCTCTATGCCAGTGTTAGAAAGCTATCCCTGTAACAGGTCGTGGAGGCCCATAGGTTTGTGAGATATTGAGGATCTCACATTTTCTAGACATTCGGCTCACAGATGCGGTGAGACTGCCAGCCTTATATGCCGGCAGCCCTTTAGCCCCAGGAAGATTCCTAGTACTCAGTTCTGTTAGAGACTGAGTCTTTCCCTATCTAATTTGGCCACCAATTCTTTCACACTTGAAAATTTGTATGGAACCCTGATAAAATTCTAATATATGAAGCTAAAAAACTAGACCACAGATAAGTAAGGATAATAATAAATAAATGATAAACAAGGATATGAAATCAAAATATTATTAAATTGCATGTGTTTATAAACAAAAATCACATTTCACGTATAAGAAAAATTAACCTTAAAAATTAATATGCCATATATCCACAATTGATCTTTTTAGCTTATTTTCCTTATTTTGAAAATGTAAAATATGCTTGTGTGATCACCTTGCTGTCTGTTTGTCTCTATGTGTATGTCTGTGTATTCCCTCCTAATTTTTAGTAGGAGGCTTATGATACCACCTTGCTGTCTGTCTGTGTTCCACCCTAATTTTTGTTAAGAGGCTTATGAAGTCACCTTTCTGTCTGAACCCNCCCCCCCCCCCAATTGTTGCGTTTCGTATGCTGTCCGCATCGTATCAAAGAGGCTTATGAGATCACCTTTGCGTCTGTGTGCCCCCGTTTTCTATGCGGCCGGTGTCATATCAAAGGAAAGTAAGAGAGTAGTTCATCCAAGAACTTACTGTCTTCTATTAGAATTATATTTTTTTTGGGACGCTCATTTTATCTTCTTGGATCCCTGGGGTCTAATGAACACCATGTGGGACACATTGCCTAAATATCTCGTTTATCCGCATTAATGACTATTGGAGCCAATGAGATATGCAACATCTGGGCCTACCGCATGTCTCCACTCTCCAGCTATACTTACCCGTCCAGTGCGAGGACCTCTGTGCCTAAAAAGGCCGACCTCAAGTCACTGCGCCGAAACACTAGATTCAGCCTCTCTCGGTAATCCCTCGCTCGTATCCGGAACCCTTCAGTGGCGGGATCAGCAAGTTCCGGAGAAAAGGAGTCACCCCGCACCACCCGAAACATTGCCCGGAAAACTCGCTCGCCTGGCGGATCCGAACTCAGGAATGTATCTGCGAACAAATCCAACAAGAACAGCTTACATTTCCCGGTATCGTCATTATGTATTCTTTACACGACGTAAATAAACTGACAGGATTTCCTCGGGGGGGGGGGGCGTATATGTCTCTAAATCTGCCGGTCCATCGGTCCTTCCGCATACTTCATGTCAAGAACCGATGCACCGATTTTGATGAAATTTCATATTCATCGAAAAATATAGCGACATTTCGACTTTCACAAAGATCGATAGGATGGAACTATAATTTCATAATTGAGAAGATGTGTGTTCTTACAATATTACATTTATTCGAAAGGGAAGAATGGCAAGTGAAAACCAGGGACCCCAGTAAGAAGAGCAGCCTCTCAATCTTGCTACTAGGAGAAGCGCCCACAAGGTTTAGGAGACATGAATCTCATTGTAGCTAACACGCTACCGTCTCTAACTGAAGACACCCCCTTTAGGATTTCCACAAACGATTTCTCCAGCGAATGCCGTCTATAGATAGATAAACACAGGAAGGCTGGTCGAGAGACTCTCGAAAATCGTTCTGCCGGTCGAGTGAGGGGGAAACAGGCCACTTGCATCATCTTGCACTGAGCGCGTTTGAACTCGTGGCGTAGTCGATTGATCGATAGGCCAAAAAAACACAAGCAAAACACGCCCAGATCACAGAACTTTCCGGAAATTGTCCCTCTAATTACGCATACACTCGTCGCCCTTCCGTGAAATGTTCACATTCACGCCTAGAAATGCCTTCTCAGAAATGCTTGAAGCTTGAAACCTCGGTCTTATCCGCAAAGGATTTTCGAGGCGAAAGTTCAGGACTAACATCAACATCATTTAGTTTCTTTTCAGTGAGCACTGGGCGTTTTTATTCTTTTTTTTTTTATCCACTAATGAACATGTCTGCGTAGATTTGTTTACAACAGTACGGATGATTTCATTTGGAAATGCAAAGGGTAAAGTTGTTCCTGTACTTAATTTATTAAGCGCCACGCTATGAAGGCATATGAGGGTGTAAAGTTATAGCTCTACAATTCTTGACCTCCGCACTAATTGGACTGTAGCGGTCAGCTTCACGTATTGGCCGCTCCCCCCCCCCCACCNCCGGGAAAAGAGCTCCCAGTACCCATTGGATAGGAGGCGGGTGGGCCCCAGAGGCAGTCTGGACGTTGTGTACATGAGAAAATCTCTTGCCCCTGCCGGGAATTGAATTCCAGCCGCTCAGCTCCTAGGACGTCGCTATACAGACTGAGCCATCTGAAATTTACTTTGGGAAATTTTCCTTACTTTTCACATTTTGCATCGTACATGAACGCTTGTTAAGCTCTCTTCATAGCAGCTGCTGAGAGATTTCTGAGGGTGGTTTTGGACAGAAATTATAGTGAGAGATGTTCCGAATAGCCTGTGTCCTCGGGAGGTTTCCTCTACTAGCAAGCTATTCTTTTCGAACATGGTACTACTGTTTAGACCTCATTATATATAATAATACTCTAAAATCTCAGTTCATGACTTGTAACAGAAATACTGAACAACTCCGTTGCTTTAGTCCGCAAGTGAACTATACCGACCGAGCGACCGCCACTTGTCGGCGAAGTCAGTGCCAACTTTAGCTGACAGAGGGTGTCGCGTGGTCAGCGCAACGAATCCCCACGGCCGTTACTCTCGGTTTTCTAGACCGCAGCCGCTAATTCCTTGAAATAGCTCCTCAATTATCTCACGAGGCTGAGTGTACCCCGTTCCAGAACCACTACTTCTCAGGAAATCTGGTAGCGCCGGGAATCAAACCGGGGCCTCTGGATCTGTAACCAGGAACTCTGACCACTAGAAAACAGAGGCGGTCATGATCTCAACATACAATTACTATAATTCCATGGTCTGTTCTATAACTTGCAACAGCCCTTAGGACTTCAGATATACGTTATTATTATTATTATTATTGGTTTATCTATTTATCTGTGAACAACTTATTATTTAGGTAAGCGGTTAGTCGCTGGCTTCCCACCGCGGCGGCCCGGGTTCGATCTCGGGTCTGGTCATGTGGGATTTGTGGTGGACAAAGTGGCGCTGGGGCAGGTTTCCTCCGAGTACTTCGGTTTCCCCTGCCAATCTTCATTCCACCAATTGTTCCACAATCACCTTCACCTATCATCTGGGGCTGGTACAATAGGCCAGAAGTGGCCGCAGTACAAGGGACTTAGTCCCACCCCACTTGCAATGAAAAAAATGTTTGTATCAAATATATAGAAAATAACCTCGATGTTCCTCACTGTCGCCATGTTTGTAATTGTTTACTTACAAACAACATTTTATACATAAGTTGATGACCTATCTCCATACCAAACTGCGTATGCCTAAAGCCAGTGGTACATAAGATTTATTATCATTACTAAATCCTTAATAAAGCGACGCAAATGTCGTATTTACCTCGAAGATGTGAGCCTTCGTCATGCTATTATTGACAGCTTAGGAAGTTATAAATATGATGTTAGGGTGGCCTCTAAGGGCGCAACGCCACAACTAAGTTACATGAAAGTCGGTCATCTGATTCATAAATTTAAATAGGGAGACAAAATTACGTACAAAGCACGGTAATCTCATGCCGCCTAATTCTGTTTCCTTAAGTGAGGAAAGTGGGAGCGCCTACCAAGTAGGCTGTGGGCTGGACGCCGGTGGGGTTGAGGCTCGAATCCCAGGTTCGAGCAAGGCGTACTGTCTCCCTTCTCGGCTCTGTGGCCCGTCCGGCCTCCTATGCAACGTGTACAGAGGGCTGTTTCCCTGGAGGTAAAGCGGCCGGTGTGTAAAGCTGACCACCCACCTCCGCTTAGTGCCGAGGTTAAGGTTGATGGAGCTATACCTCCACTCCCCATACGTCTTCATGTCGTAGTGATTAATTAATTATGTCCATGTATTACGTTGCCTTTTTAAAGAAAAGTAGGCTGAAAGGGGTGAAGGTAGTTAAGATTTTTCCCACTGGCATCGTTAAACATCCAACTTATCAGAGAATTTGCTGATATGCCTGAGTGAAAAACGTTGTTTATATAATGGAACGTGTTAATGTACATAAATAAATTGCAAGTTATCGTCTCCTTTAATGGAAACAGCTATTGAACACACAATCGAGCGGTGCGTAAATGACTACTGCCCAAAATTATTAGTCATAAGAGATTTTCCTAGTATTTAATACATTTTTTGCGGTTGCGTCTCTAACGTTTAACGAGATTACAACAAAGATTCTTTACTGCATGTTTTATGAACTCTGTAATTTGTGTGAAAGTCTCCTACAACAGACCGCCATCAAGAATGAACAGGTGTTATGCAAGTGAATACTACATCTCGTCTGTAACCCACGGATACTCGCACATGTCAGGGAAACGTAACCATGGGAATATTCCGATGAAAGTGTTAACCAAAGCCGGCAGGACCAGTGTTTTAATGATACTGGCTTCTATGTGGGTCAACTGGCATAACTTAACTTCAGATGTTGGAAAATGTGAAGGCTAAAACAAGAAATAAGTGGTATTAACTGGAATTAACACAGTTTTCTGACAAATACGTGTATATACTGCTGCGCTCCTGATCTGCGCAGATAACTCTGTGTGTATTCGCAAATGCCGCTCTACTCCGGATCTGTTCAAATTCGTTCCAAAATCTTTAACAGCATTTTCGGCATACATATGCTCTCATGTGCGCGCACGGATTTAGAAAGGTTTGGAATTGTGTTGGCTTCTGTCAGTGGGGTTATTTGTTAGTTGTCTGAAACGGTACGTAATTATATTTTTCCTTCCTTATGATATTACATAACTTCACAAGAAAACTGCGGTCCAAGCTTTTGGCCAAAGTGAAACACTTCTGACCAGGCTTCTCGACAGATGTCACCCATTAACAGAAGGTTTTAATTGTAACATATTAAATCTTACCCTATCAGTTTCTGGCTCACATTGCTTACAGCGAAAATGGACTCGAGTATATGTACCCACTTCACGCGCCACGATTATGCACTGTTCCACACTGGACTAAAGATAACGAAAATGAAGGTGGATGGGAGGCTCGCGCGGTGAGGACAGAGAAGAGTGGAGCACAGAGAAACAAGAGGTATTGTTTCCTGCATATCGGTGGCAATCAGACAGTTCAGCTACTTATTCAAGCTACCATCCTCTTTAATTATCGCTGCTGCTGTTTATTTGTGATTTTTTAATTTTCTATATTATTGGTCATTGGATTTTTTTCAGTTGACGTAATCCTTCCAGCCGCACTATGGCCCTGGGGTCGACTCAGCCTCTAACAGAAATGAGTACCAGGAATTAATTAAATAATTTTCCTGGGGTGCAAAGCGCGGCCGGTGCGTAAGGCTTACAACCTTACCGCTATCTGTGAGTCGATTGTCTAGATAATGTGAGGCCCTCAACGTCTCACAACCCTGTTCGCCTTCAAGGCCTATTACAGAGATGGCTTTACTTATTTTTACTTTATGTTATTGGTCATTATATTTAATTTTGTTTAATATCCACAGTGTCTGAAACCTACATCCATTGGGCCATGGTTATTTTAAAGCCTATGGCACAGGTCTCAATCGAGATGAGTTACATTTTTCTCAAATTTTTGTTTTTTAGGTTACGGCAGTGCAGCTGGAGCACAATGAAACTATAAAAATATAAAACAATTAATGTGATTTAAAACAGATATACAACATCTAGTTTCTTGCTTAGTTATCTGGAAACTTTCTATTGTCATACTATTAGAGCAATTGTTTGAATGAAAGAAACATTCAAATTCCAACCAAGGGGATTTTGTTGTTCCTAGATTTCCTGTCATTATTTTTAAACTTATATTTCAAGTGTTTAAAACGCTATTTAAGCCCTAAGTCCTCTGTTCATGCCTTCCAGAGCCTGTTTTAAAAAAAATATAAAAAATGTTTGATATGTGTGTTTAACTGAACCCCAAAATGTGTGTCAGTGAGCCCCATCAGTGGGGTACAATAAAATAAATGGTACAGTTAAGATCTTAAAT